CGGGGAGCAGCTCTAGGCAACACCCCAGGCACTTAGCTCAGTACCAGGAAGGCAGGGAGGATTGCTAGCCTGGAGCAGTGTAGTCATGTGGGGCAGGTCTTGGAATTTGCCCCAGGAAATAACCCTGAGGCTGGAATGACCAGGAAGAATCTAAGGGTTCCAGACCCTAGGGCAGGGTAGGGCAGGCCAGTGAGCAAGAGCCCCCCACCCCCCCCAGAGGCCCCTGTGCCTGGGTCTGAGCTCCAGAAGACTACCCAGTCTGCAAGGAGAGCCCCGGTTCCAACACCACTCCTGGGGCCAGAACACCATACTCCCTCCCAGGCCAGGTCCTACCCATGTCCAAGGACTGAGAGGGGCTCGGGGTGTGCAACCCAACCCCAAGCTGACAGAGGAAATACTGACCCCTGCTGCCTGCATGTTCCTCCCAGCTGGACTCACAACCTCCCATGTCCAAGATCAGCAAACCTCTTGGGCTCCCAGAAAAGCCATCCACTGCCCATTCCTGGCCAAGTGGCCCTGTCCCTCCACTGACCTTCTTTCTTGAGGACCCAGCTTTGGTGAGGCACGACTTCTCCAGGGCCTGATAACCACCGATCACCTCGATCTCGTGGACAGTGGGGTAGCGCTTCTTGAGCACAGTCCCCAGGGTGACGTGGGGTCCCACGGGGCTGTCGGCCTGCTCCTCAGCTTCTTGCTGGGCTTCACCACTACCCTGGTCTGAGCGCTGCTCCTCCAGGGCCCCTGGCTTCCTCTTGGGCACCACCACAAAGGTGGTGCCACCATGGGGCTTGGGACCTAGCGAGTCCTCAAACTTGGTAGGGTGTGGACAGTACCAGGGAGGTAATTTGGTTTCCTGGAAATTCTCCTCGTCGGAATCCACCTCATCAATGAAGGTGACTGGGAGCCCCGGTCCTCCAGGCTCCTGGCCATTTGTGGCCAGGCCGGGATCCCTGAAGGCCCGGACAGGCTCAGCTTCAGTGGCAGCCGGCATGGAGGGAGGTGGTGACAAGGGTCTCGGCCACCTAAGTGCCCTGTCTACAAGGGCAGTGGCTGGCCTGGGGGAGCCAATCTCTTCCACTGCCCAAGGTGCCTCAGCCCCCACGGGGCTCCTCTGGCAGGCAGGCACACCATCCACTGCAGGCACCAGCTGGCCTCCGAGCTCCCGGGGCTGTGAGGTCCAGCCCACTCCTCCCTTTGGCTGTTGCAGGGTCTGCCTCCCTTCGGGAGAACCGACTCCGGAAGTTTTCCGCTTGGGAATGAACACGAAGGAGTTTCGGGAGTTGACACGGAGACTGGCCAGGGCTCGAGCCTGGAGGTCCCCCGCCGGGATGGTCTCCAGGTCTGGCTTAGGGGCAGGTCGGATCTCAAAGGAGTCGTTGGCGCTGGTGGCCGCTGAGACCCACTGACGCTGGCTAGGAGTGGCACTGGCAAGGCTGGGTGTGAGGAGGGCCAGAGGCACGGCTACAGTGGCACTGGGGGTTCCGGGACTGGGGGACGGGTGGAGGGGGAGAGCCCCCGACTCCACCTTTGGCTTCCACTCGCCCGAGCTCTGGGTCATTCTCAGGGGCACAGGCCCCGTACGGGGGCTCAATGCGCCGTTGGCAGGGCTGGCCCGGGGCTCAGAAGTGGTGGACCCGTTATGGAGAGGGCGCGTGCCCAGGCCCCGGGGGTGGACGATGAACGAGTTGCTGCCGGTTTTCTTCAAGAAATCGCCGCGCCGGGCACTGGGACCAGCACCCTCGCCACGGTGCTCGCGCTCGAACCAGGCAGCGCGCTCGCCCACGCGAGGGGCGGCCGGCGGAGCGGGGGTCTCCGGTGGTGGTTTTGGCACCACGGGCGGCGACGGCGGGCGGGCTCGCAGGGGGCGCTCGGGGCTCCTGTGGCGGCGCGACGCTGCACCGGCCGACGAGTCAAACTTCTCCAATAGCCGGCTGACGCGGCCCGGCGCCGGCGCCGCCTCGTACACCAGCACCTCGGCAGCGCGTATCTCCGCGGCGGCAGCGCTGCCGGACGGCGCGGGGGCGGGCGCGAAGCCGGGCGCTGACTCGATGATGAGGATGTTGTCGGCGCGGATGGTGCGCAACCCCGGCACGCACAACTCCAGCAGGGGCGGCTCCGCCCGCGCCCCCGGCATGCCGACCCGCCGCCCGCGTCGCCGCTCCGACTCGAGCCTCATGAAAGGGTTCTCACGCAACGGGCCCAGACTTTCAGCCACCACTAGCCGCTCTTCCGCCGGCGCCGCGGACTCCGCCGCTCCAGCCGTCCCAGACGCGGGTTCGGAATTGGGCACCGCGCCCCCGCCCAGGGCCGCCAGTTTGGCGCGCTTGCGCTCCAGAATCTCCCGCTTCCAGGCGGGAAGCACGACGCGGGGAGCCGGGCCCGGCCGCCCCAGGCCGGCCATAGTGCCGATGCGGCCGGCGGCGCGGACTGCGCGAACTGCGCCGGGTCTGGGACCAGCGCGCCACCGCCCACCGCCGGCCTTGGAGCTGGCCCGCCCCTTCCCAGGCTGCCGTCCATTGGGGAAGGCCCATCTGGACCCGCCCCCCACGGCGTCCTCCCTATGGCAGGGGAGGATTATTCGCTCGACGTCCTGGTCCTCAAAACAATCCCGTGGATTGGAGAACGAACGACTTGACCCCGCCCCCCGGGCTCGCTGGAAAACGCCCATCTCGGAACCGGACACGCCCCCGGAGCCGCGCGGCATTCATTGGCCGCCAGACTTCCGCCTCTGCGCTCTAGACTCCAGCCGCGGGGCTCTGGTGGGCAGGTCTGGGCGGGGGCGAGTCCCGATAAGCAGTTGTAACCTTGATTCGAGTAGTGCCTTGCTTAGCCTTGCTTGTCGCGAGGCACCCAGCCCACCGGCCCCTCCTCTGAGAATGCGATGGAGAAAAGACCTGCCCCGCCATCGAAGGCAACAAACCGGCCTCCCGCTGCCGGTCCTGGCCCTACCAACGCTAAGGTGTGGGTGTTCTGCAGGACCTAGCTAAGTGCATATTCTGCAGCCCCACCAAGTCCTAAGGAACCCGTTTTTGGGGAGGGAACCCGGAGCCTGTAGTTTTTACAAACTTGCTTCCATTGCTCAGCAAGTTTGAGACGTATGGCTCTGCAGGATAATGCACTGGTCCACAAGGTGGGTTTGAACCACAAGGTGGGCAGTTCAAATTCACCAACCCAACCGCTCCTCAGAAACTTTATACAGGGTCGCTAAGAGTAGGAACCTACTCGACTGCACTTAACAACAAACCCCACGCCGGGCCATCGGTGTCAGATTCTGTGGGAGGCACACGGGGCTTTCTCCTGCAGTGCAAGAAGTCAGGAAAACAGTCATTTCCAGAAGCTTTCCTCCTACCGCTCTTCTTCTTCAGGACTCGAACTTCCCTCCTGCCCACACCTTTCCTTCTAAGGAAGATTGCCGGGAGCCTTCGGAGAGGAACGTGAAGACACCAGTAGGGGCCACCCATCTCTCCATCACGTGCTAGTAATGAATGGACTGTCTCCCACATCATTGATCTTTCAGAGACGGGGTTCCAAGGGCGCGCCTGTCTCTGCAAAGGGCTGTGGGTGCCCTTCTCGGCTTCTGTATCCCCCCCCCCCCCCCCAGTTTACAGCTGCCACTGGCTTACTGGGGTCCTGCTATGAAGCTGTTTCCGTAAGCACTGAACCACAAGGTTGATTTGAACAGCAGGTTGGCGGTTCAAACCCACCAGCCACTTCTCAGAAACTCTATGAGTTGAAACCGACTGGACGGCACTTAATACCACCAATGCTACCTCAGTCTCCTACCTACATTGCTATGTTAGGCTGTTGAGTTGGACCCAACAAACGGTGGCTCTGTACACAGTAGAATGAGATGTACACCGTAGAATTTTCATTGGCTGCCTTCAGTAGCTCACCAGGCCTTTCTTCTAGTCTGTCTTATTCTGGAAGCTCCGCTGAAACCAGCAATACACAAGCCTCCACTAACAGAGATGGTATGGCTCTGCATGAGGTACACTGGCTGGGAATCGAACCCACGTCTCCCGTATTCTAAGTGAAAATTCTACTGCTGAGTCACCCATTCCTCTACCCACCCTATGAGGCTGGAGAAAAGAAAAACTCAAGTGTCTTCTGCCTTAAGATCCTCCCTGAAGCCACCTTCCCAGAGGAAGCTAAGACTTCTTATACTTCCTCACTTTAAAAACAACAGCATCACCCCATTCAGAACTAATGAAATAGAACTGGGAAACGAAGAGCAGGAGTGAAAATAACATCACAAGGAAACCCATTCCCAACATGCAACTTGTATTCCGCTTGGACAAGTCAGGCATGCCAGTCTGCATAGGAAATAAATATTTGCATAACTGTGACATCATCTGCGGTCCTGGGGCTGGTGTGGTGCTGTAGGATAAGCAGTGGACTGTGAACTGCAAGGTCAGTGGTGCAAACCCACCAGCCACTCCTCGGAAACCTCACACAGGGTCACTATGAATCGGATCCGACTTGATGGCACTTAACAACAACATGATATCTTCCAGACAAGTTCAAGTCTATCTCCATGGTTCAGCTACTCAGCAGTCACCCCAGGCAATGGGCTCCCAAAGTTCACACCATCAGCCAGCTGGTCTTTAGAATAGAGGTTGGCAATGCTTTTCTGAGGGTCAGATAGGAAATATTTTTAGCCAAGCAACTCTCCTTGGGGTAAAATTCACTCTCCAGGGGACAGGTGGCAATGCCTGGAGACAGTTCTAGTTGTTACAAAGGGAGGGAGGACACTAGCTGCACGCCAGGGGGTAGAAGCTGGAAATGCTGCTCGGTGGCCAGCAATGCAGGGGCACTGCATTGTCACACTACTTCTTTGTTTTTACGAGTCCTGGTGTGGCATTGTGGGTTAATACGCTGGACTGCAAAGTCGCTTTGAACTGCAAGGTCGGCGGTTCAAGCTTACCAGCTGTTCTTTGGAAACACTATACAGCGTCACCATGGGTCAGAATCGACTCAACAGCACTTCACAACAACAACAAACCAGTGTAACACTCTCAGCTTATGGGTTGCCCAAATACAGGCTGCAGCTCTGGTGTCCCACAAAACACAGGCTGAACTGATGTCCTCACCCTGGGCAGCCACCCCTCCCACCCCCTATGCAAAGACTGTCCCAGGGAAGGGCGTCCCCTTGTCCACCCACAATTGCAGGACTTGTGCTGTCCTGTAGCCCCACTTCCATCTGAGAGCAGAGGGCATCTCAACGTGAACCTTCTCTAATGCTCACCAGGCCGCCACTGTTTACTTCAGCAGAACATTCTTATTTTTATTTTCCTATCAGTAGACATTCTCGTTTGGCACCTGACTGGCATCAGAACAAAGCCTTTGGGCTGACCTGGGCAACGATCAGTTCCTAACAGCCAGAGGACCACTCGCAAGCTTCTGAGCATCAGCGCCCGCGTGGACCCCAGGCCTCAGCGTGCGTCAGGTAACAAGGTGCAGCAAAGTGTGTGCAACTGCACTCTACACTGCCAAGCCTGCAACAGAGAGTTCCTCGCCCTAGCCATCCTGTCTCTGGGGCCCACTTGTGTTGATTTGACAGATTGTCTGCACATCTCCTGGAATGAAGGAAAGACCCCACCCCCACCCCCAATCACACAGAAGAGGAGGCACAAGCTCATTGATGGTTCTCAGAGTTCAAGCATGCAAGAAGTCTGGTCTAGGTGGCCAGAACAGTGAGCTCCCAGGTCAGCACTGGCCAGAGGACATCCTGAATCCAGCTTTGCAGCCTTGAGAGCGTCCACAGAGCGTCCTCAGATCCATTCAGTACATTTTATAGATCTGCTTTGTCCGCCAGAAGCCTTCAGGACTATCTGGACTGGAACTCTTTGCAGGTCAACTCAAGATTTGCAGCTGAAAGCTCAGAACAAGAAAGAAATGCATTTTAAGGATCCAGACTGCTGTTTGATCCTGCTGTAGGAATAATGTCAGACACGATCAGTGTAAAAAAAAAAAAAAAAAAATCAGAACACTGACTACGGGTTCCAGCATTCTAGTTGTCTCAGGCTCCCTCCCCAGTCTCTCTGCATGCTAGTTGACCCGGCAGGCGCGAATCATGAGCAGCTGCAGGAGAATGAAGACTGGAGAAGTGATCAGGCCAAACCAGAGCTCCCGAGTCTGCTCCACCAACTTCTGGTACAACAGCGTCTCGAAAACGAACTTGAGGCTCAGGACCGTAAGAACCCAGAAGAGACGGAGCACGGCCAGCCGTTTCTCTCCGTCCTGGAAGAGGCGCACGGACACAATGGTGGTGAAGTAGGTGCTGAGGCCGTCAGCGGCGAAGAAAGGCACGAACACGTTCCACCAGGAGAGGCCGGGGGCCAGGCCGTCCACGCGCAGTGCCAGCAACACGGAAAACACCAACAGGGCCAGCAAATGCACGAAGATCTCGAAGGTGGCGAAGCCCAGCCACTGCACCAGCTCCCGGAGAGAGAAGAGCATCGCGCTGGTTGAAGGCGGGCCAGACCCCGGGCCGCGATCCAGCCAATCGTTCCACCCGCTGGGCTGCCTCTCCTCTGCCCGCGGGCCTCGCTGGCTTCTGCCGCCGCCGCTGCGCGCTAGAGGCAGCGAGCGGCCCCACCTGGCCCGGGTCTCGGGCCCGGCACACCGCCGATCCCCCGGCCCCAGCCCGGGACCCTGCACTGGCCGCCAGCGGACGCCCGCCTCGCTCGGACGCCATACCCCGCCGGGCGCAGTCTGAAGGCGTCACTTCCGGTCGTTGGCGGAAGTCGGAAGCTGTACCTGCCGCCTGGCCGGGTACGTGCTGTGTTCTCCGTGGTGTCTCTTCGTCTGGAGAAACCTACAAAACTAGTAGCGTCCGGAATGGCGAGCCCTCGGCTTCTGGTGCTTTTCGGCAGCCAGACAGGCACGGCCGAAGATGTGGCCGAGAGGCTGGGCCGCGAGGCCCGGCGTCGGCGGCTGCAGTGCCGGGTGCTGGCCATGGACTCATATTCAGTGGTGAGGGCATCCGAGCAGGCCTAGCGTACCGCACCCCTCAGGACCTTGGGCAAGGGCCCAGAGCCGGGCCTTTCATTCCCGCGACTTCAGAGGCTGCGGAGGAAGGGGGCAGGGAGGAGGGTGCACTCTGAAGGCGAGAAGATAGGCAAGCGGCTCGGCTCGGCCTGTTCTTCCTGCACGACTCTAAGCGCCCCCTTGCGTCCCCTTCACCCTGGACAGGGGGGGTGGGGGGGCGGTAAATTGCTGGGTCATTACAGCTGGAGGTCTTACATGTTTGTCTCTCTGTTGAGGTGAATCTGATTAACGAGCCCCTGGTGATATTTGTTTGTGCAACTACAGGCCAAGGAGACCCCCCTGACAACATGAAGGTAAGGGTGAGCCGATGAAGCTCAGGAGCGGAGACCCCAGCCTGAACCCTCCCTTCTGCCCATTGTCCAAGAGCCCCAGCGTCTACTGCAAACTCCCAGGGAGTTCGTTTTTCCTAAGCTAGGGACTCTGGTTGTCCTAATAGACACCTCACAGGTCACCCAGTAGCCTTGGCTCCATCGTCCCCTCTCCTGTTTTCCCGGGACGGGAGCTAAGTCGAAGGGACCCTGATGTACAGAGGTGAAGTGCTCAGCTGCTAATGCACACGTTACTGGTTTGAACCCAGCAGCCACTCTGCAGATCAAAGATGTAGCCATCAGCTCCTGCACAGATGCCCGCCTTGCAAACCCTACAGAGCAGTCCTCTCCAAATGGTCTCTCTTTCTATGACTCAGAATCAACTCGATCCCAGTGGGTTGGGTTGCGTTTGGAATCATGTGTCTGTATGTGTTTCTATGGAGTCCTGGTGTGGCGCTGTGGGTTAATGCACCAGAGTGCAAAGCCGTTTGAACGGCAAGGTTGGCAGTTCAAGCTCACCAGCTGCTCCTCAGAAACCCTATACAGGGTTGCTATGGGTCGGAGCCGACTCAACAGCACTTAACAACAACAACAGTGTGTTTCTGTGGGTCCTGGTGTGGTGCTGTGGGCTAATGTGTCAGACTGCAAAGTTTGAACTGCAAGGTCGGTCGTTCAAGCTCACCAGCTGCTCCTTGAAGACCCCATACAGGGTTGTTATGGGTTAGAATCCACTCGGCGGCACTTAATGACAACAACAACAATGTGTTTCTATAAGGAGCTGTGGTAGTGTAGTGGTTAGAAGTCGGTCTGCCAACCTCAAGGTCAGCAGTTCGAAACTACCAGCTGTTCCGCGGGAGAAAGATGAGGCTTTCTGCTCCCGTAAGGATTTACAGCCTCGGAAACCCTGTGCAGGGTCGCTATGAGTCGGAACCGACTCCACGGCACATAACACCAACAACAATGTGTTTCTCTACTGTCTGCCACTCAGAGGTCACCATTTGTGTTGAGTGCATGTCATTTTCCAACTGTGCACATAACAGCCACATTTCTACCCTCCTGGGCCTCCCAAGGAGCCCTGGTGGTGCAGTGGTGAAGTGCTGGTCTGTTAACTGGAAGGTTGGTGGTTCAAACCCGGCAGTTGCTCTGTGGGAGAAAGATGTGGCTGTCTGCTTCCTTGGAAACCTTGTGGACCGCTCTACGGTGGCCTGTAGGGTTGGTATGAATCTGTCTGAATCAACTTGACAGCAATAGGTTATGTTTTCTTTCTTTAACTCGTAACATAGCAGAAGCAATAATATTAGGAAGTACAGGCTCCTGGAGGAAGTGCTAGGTGTTAGTGGAGCAGTGGTAAACGGCACCCAGCTTAGCCTGGGGTTCAGGGAAAGCTCTCTGAAAGGAACAGAAGCTGAGTCCTAGAGGATCATGGGAGCTAGCCAGTGCAGGGAGGGAGGACTGTACATCCTAAGGGAAAAACAAGATGCAGTTCATTACGGCTGAGCAAAGGAGGCGAGAAGGGAGGCAAGAGGCAGCCCAGTCCCAGAGAGCCAGGATAATCACAGTGGGTCCCCAAGGCTTGCGACAAAGAGCCAAGGAAACCAAGGAGGTGGCATCATCAGGTCTTTGTTCTAACCACACTGCTTGTCTGTCAGGGAGAGCAGGGTGTCAGAGAATGTAAGTGGTACCGCAAGACGCTTGTGACCTGGGCTGCGGTGCCTTAGGGCACATGAAGACTCACACACAGAACACGTCATTGCATGGGTGTGGAAGATGAACAAAGATGGAACCTAGGCAGAGCTCCAGGTCTGCGTCGGCACACGGGTGGAAGGCTGTTCCACTCGGAACCCTGGGAGCTGATGAGGGCAGGCCTGGAGGACACCCAGGTTGGAGGTGTTGGTGGGTTGGAGTGGCCCGCCAGATAGTCTTGGAAGTCAGGGTGGGGGCACCAGCTCCTAGGACAGGCCACCGGGACATCGGGGTGTGGGGAGCAAGAGAAAAGACACGGAAGTGTCCCAAGCTGCAGGAAGAGGCAGTGCAGCAAGCTTAGGGCAGTGGAGTGGGTAAAGAAGGTGCACCCACAATGAGGGTGGCGACCTCCGGCAGAGCTCCTCCGGGGAGGCGGGCGTGCAGCAATGCTGGTGGAGAAGACTGGAGAGCGAGAGGCTCGAGGTTGGTGTCTTAGCCGTGTATGTTCCTATCACACACAGCCCAGTGGGCAGTTTTAACAAACCAGCATGTGTTCTCACAAGGGCCGGGGACACTGGAGGCGAGGAGTCAGGATGCCAGCTCTCGAGGAAGTCCTTGCCCCCTCCTCTGCCATCGCTTGACTCTGGTAATCTTCCTGTGGCTTGGCGTCTATCGCCCCCCCGTTCGGTCAGCTGGCTGGCTTGTTTAATCAATTCTTTCTGTCTTGGAAGAGATTGATGTAAGACCTACCCTACATGAATCCCGTTTCATGAGCAGCAGAGAAAACCTGCTCCCTAATGGGATTGTCGTTGGCTTCTGCTGTGAGCCTCCCCGCTCCCAGTGACCCTACATGGCAGAGCTTCCTGGAGTTTCGGAGGCTGTGACCCTCAGAAGTAGAATGCCTCATCTTCCTCCCACAGAGCATCTAGAGGGTTCTAACTGCCGATCTTTGCATTAGCAGCCCAGCACTTAACCCACCGGGCCACCAGGGCTCCTAATCACAGGCTGCTGTTGAGAAGTGATGTCCAGTGGCTTTCGACTCACTGGGACCCTGCGTAGGGTTTCTGAGGAACAGCGTGTGAGTTTGAACTGCTACATTACCGTTCAAATGGACCTTGTAGGTCATCCTGCAGTGCCTAACCTACTGCCACCAAGTGGATTCCAACTCAGTGACCCGTAGGACAGAGCAGACCTGCCCCTTAGGGTTTCTGGGAGCAGACAGCCTCATCTTTCTCCCAGAGAGCGGCTGGTGGGTTTGAGCTGCCAAGTCTGTGGTTAGCGGCCCAGTACTTATTCCATGGAGCCACCATGGGTCCAAGTTGCAATAGAGGAGTGAGGATTCACCGCACATTTTGGGAAGACAGAATTTAATCCAGAGAGTTGGAAATGGGGTGCAGATTCCCTGTGGAGGCCGAGAGAGTAAGCGCCCAGTACGGCCCAGCTGGAGGCTGAGGCTGTCACCTCAGAGGCTTGAAGGGGAGAGAGCGGGAATGGACTGCGGTCAGGGCAGAGGTCAGATGAGTGAGGATAGAGACAAAGGCCAGAGTGGGAGGCCCCTGGGGGCAGGCCCGGTCCTTACACCTTTCTATGAGCCAAGGAGAGCGGGCACTTGCATTGAAGGGAAGAGAGCCAAGACGGGGCCTGAGGGTTCTCCATGGACAAGAAGAAAACCAGAGGCTAAGGAGATGTTCTTCAGGTTCAAAACAGAGAAAGATTGGAAGATAAAGTGGCAGGATTCTCCAAAAAAATGTAGCGAAAAGCAGAGAAGTAGAAGAAACCAAGATTCAAAGATCCTTCTGGAAGGTTCAGAGTAAATACAAGATAACAGACAGGAAATTATCAGGAACAAGTAGCAAGATATCTCAGAACTGAAGGACAGGCTTGTTAGTGCTGGGAGGCCCCGAGTGGGCAGAGACTTGGGGACAGAGCAGGACACAGAACAGAGCAGCTTCAGGCTTCTCAGTAGTGGCCTTGGAATTGCGAGGTGCCTAGAGCCGAGCCTCTGGTTCTCAAGGAAAATGACGATAGGAACAGGCATGAGGAAGCATCAGCATGGGTTCACACTCACAGGTCATGAGACTGATGTCCAGAAGGTAACCACCTTCCACTGAAACAAGTCTAACCGGGGGCCTTGCCCTGGGAGGATGTAGAGGGAGGAGGGCTGAGGTGTTGGGAACTGCCGGGTGTCACCCAGGAACAGGGCCAAGTGGAGTGTGGCGTGGCAAGGGGCGAAGTGGGAAGAGAGGTTGCCATGTGGGACCCATGCCCTCAAAGCCCCTCTGACAGCGGTGGGGCAGTGGGTGCTGCCTGGGGCTGGGTGCATGAGGCAGTGAAGACAAGTTCGCCGGGCTAGCCATGACCGGGGCGGAGGGAATGTGTCTATGGGCACAGGCTCAACCTTTGGGGGTCAAGGCCCTGGTGTTCCCGGAGATGGCCGCAGACTGGGCTGTAAGTGGAAAAGGTGGGTGAACACAGGAGGGTGGGGTGGGCAGAGCCTCCATGTGGTCAGGAGAAGTGGGGGCTCAGAGTCCAGTCTGGGCCTGCAGAGGGGTGTCTACAGAAGACTGAAAGGGTCAAAGATTGGGTATGGCCGATGGGCCCAGAACCACTTGAAACCATGAAGGCCACAGACTGGGGGACACTAGGGTCCCAGCATCTTACCCCCAAGTAAACTGAGTCCTGGACAGCCAAGGCCAGGACGTTTCTTCCTCTCTAGGACTCCTAGGGTGGCACTGTATGGTCAGCTGCTCCTCAGAATCCGTATACAATGGTGCTGAGTCAGAACTGACTTAACAGTGGCTGTTCAACAGGAAGTACTGGCTTCCCTGCTGCCTGATCCCAGGCCCTCGGCCCATACTTAGGTGGTGGCTTGTTTTAGCATTTATCTTATGTCTGAGCACTGCCCACAGATAGTTACTGTCTTGGTTGTTAGCGTCATAAAGTAAGGTCTTAGGAACAGAAAGGTGAGCATGCTGGCAAAGGTCCCAGGCAGCCCTTCCCCACACCCTGCCCAGGTCTGGGGCCCACTGGGGCCCTGGCTCCTGATAGCAGGGAAGCCCTGGTCTCAGGCCTTTTCATCCTGCAAACTACCTCCCCACCCTCTCCAGCTCAGGGGTCGGCGGCTCTGACCAGGGGGTTCTTCTCGTTGTAGAACTTCTGGAGGTTTGTATTCCGGAAGAACCTGCCACCAACCTCTCTCTGCCAGATGGACTTTGCTGTCCTGGGCCTTGGGGACTCCTCATATACCAAGTGAGTCAGTAGGATCCCTGTGATGGCTACATCTTGTCCCCACAGACAACCCACCTCCTCCTCCTCTACTTCACCTCCACCCCCACGGGACCCTGCTCTACCAGGAGACATCCAGACACACCGTGCCCATAGGGCCCTTAGCTGACTCGGCCCCCGCACCAGGCTCACCCCACCTGCAGGAAAGGCATACCGAGATCTTGCTAGAAATCTAGCGGTGGGCGACCCCTCCGGGGTGTAGCCCTGAAGGGCAGTCTGCATGTGGGGGTCGGTAGCCCCAGCCTCACAGGGTTCCTGTACAGGTTCAACTTCGTGGCCAAGAAGTTGTACCGCCGGCTGTTGCAGCTTGGGGGCCACGCGCTCCTGCCCGCGTGTCTGGGTGATGACCAGCATGAACTGGGGTGAGTCACATGGCAGGCAGACTGACAGAGCACCACTGTGGCACTGCCTGCCCAGACTGACACATGCTCTCCACAGGCCCGACGCTGCCATCGATCCCTGGCTGCACAGCCTGTGGGAGAAGGTGCTGCGGCTGCACCCAGTGCCCCCCGGCCTCAGTCAGATCCCCCCCGGAGTCCCGTGAGTACAGCCTGCCCCTCAGCTGTCCCACTGTCTGAGGTTGTGGGTCATGCCCCGGGGGCCCAGGCTGAGCACCTGTCCTCTCTCTAGTCTGCCCTCCAAGTTCACCGTGCAGTTCCTGCAGGGGCCCCCCAGGACTGTGCAGCAGCTGGTGCCCACAACAGAGCCCCAGGGACCCCACTCAGAGATCCGGCCCTTCCTGGCACCCATGGTGTCCAACCAGAGGGTCACCAGCACCTCACACTTCCAGGACGTTCGGCTGATCGAGTTTGACATCACAGGCTCAGGCATCAGGTGGGGTTGGCCGGAGCAGAACTCTGAGCTACCTAGCGGCACTGGGGTCCAACAGGGTGCTGAGCATCTGGGGGATTCCAGAGAAAATACCTGAGTACCGTCAGCAGGGAGCACAGGACAAGTATAGATGGGCCGTGGGTGTGGGGGTCCAGAAAGAGCCACTCCAGAGGGAAGACACAATGATGACCAGGGAGGGGACACGAGTCCTGTTAGTGTCCCTGTCCCCTACAACCCCCGACCACGCCTACACATTGTGCACCTGACCCCCTGCACAGCTTTGCAGCCGGGGACGTGGTGCTTATCCTGCCCAAGAACTCGGCCCCTCACGTCCAGCAGTTCTGCCAGGTGCTAAGTTTGGACCCTGATCAGTGTTTCTCCTTGCAGCCGCAGGAGCCAGGTGAGCCCTGGACCAGGGGGACCGGAGAGCGTGCCCTGAGCCCGGGGACCAGCCTGTTGCTCCTCCTCTTCCTATCGCCCACCCCCCTGCTATTGCAGATACCTCCCATCCTGTGCGGCTGCCGCAGCCCTGCACTGTGAGGTACCTGGTGTCTCAGTACCTGGACATCACCCGGGTCCCCAGCCGCTCCTTTTTCGAGCTCCTAGCCGGCCTCTCCCCGAATGCGCTGGAGCGGGAGAAGCTGATGGAGTTGAGCTCAGCCCAGGGCCAGGAGAGTCTCCATGATTACTGCAGCCGTCCCCGTAGGACCATCTTGGAGGTGGGCACGGGCAGTGGCGGGGAGCCTGAACCCACAGCCAGGCTTGGCCAGCCTGAGGGACGCCCCCCTAGGTGCTCTGTGATTTCCCGCACACAGCGGCCGCCGTGCCCCTTGACTACCTGCTGGACCTCATACCCCCGATCCGGCCACGGGCCTTCTCCATCGCCTCCTCTCTGTTGGTGAGGGACCTGGGGCCAAGCCAGGCTCGCCTTTGGTGGGTGGGGAGCTGGGCAGAAAGCAGGGGCTGTGACCTTCGGGCATGGCCAGCCCACACCCACTGTCCCCTTCCCCAGGCCCTCCCTGGGCGCCTACAGATCCTGGTAGCTGTGGTGCAGTACCGGACACGCCTCCACGAGCCCCGCCGGGGCCTCTGTTCCTGCTGGCTGGCTTCCCTGGACCCCGGGCAAGGTAGCCCGCTGTTCTCTGTCGGGGAGAGGTATCCAGGGGTTCCTTCTTCCCCAGCAGCCCAGCCCTGCTGCCTCTTCACACTGCCTTCTTCCTACAACAGGACCCGTCCAGGTACCCCTGTGGGTGCGGCCTGGGGGTCTCGCCTTCCCAGAGACAGTAGACACGCCTGTGGTCATGGTGGGGCCTGGCACTGGGGTGGCCCCCTTCCGAGCAGCCATCCAGGAGCGGGTGGCCCAGGGAAAGAACGGTGAGCATGCAGGAGTCTCAGCTGGTGCAGCCTGTTTCTCGGGGACCCTGGGGACCCCCCGACACTGGCACTCATGCCCAAGTCTCACCTCAAGTCCACGCTGCACTTGTCCGCAGAGAACTTCCTGTTTTTCGGCTGCCGCCAGCGGGATCAAGACTTCTACTGGGAGGCGGAGTGGCGGGAGCTGGAAAGGACGGGCTGCCTGACCTTGGTCACAGCCTTCTCCAGGGAGCAGGTGGGGGTCGGGTGGGGAAACGGGGGCAGGCTCTGCTTCCTTGGGGTGGGTGGGGGTCAGCACCAGAGGACAGGACAGAAGGCAGCAGAGTACAGACTTGGCTTTGCTCCACCTGCAGGAGCAAAAGGTGTATGTGCAACACCGGCTGAAGGAGCTCGGGCCTCTGGTGTGGGGGCTGCTGGACCGTCATGGTGCCCACTTCTACCTGGCTGGGTGAGCAATGCTCGCGGAGGGGTGGGCTCAGGCCTGGGGGCCGGGACCACACTGAGCCTCGCACCTGCCCTCCAGCAATGCCAAGTCCATGCCAGCCGACGTAGCGGAGACCCTGACATCCATCTTCCAGGAGCACGGCGGCCTCTCGGGCCCTGATGCAGCCAGCTACCTTGCCAGACTCCAGCGCACACTACGCTACCAGACGGAGACCTGGGCCTAGGCCTCAGGAGAGCCCACCAAGGGGTCCAGAGTCACGTTTCTGGGGCATCTCCATTCTCGGTCTTGTCTGAGTCCAGTGGTCAGAGCCCTCAGCCCCCAGACTGGCCCTGCACACAGTCCCTCCTTCCAGTCCCAGGCCACTGAAGCCTCCGTGCTAGCCTCCCCTGCCCCTCACTGACCCACCCTGCTGGGGCTTCGAGCTGGAGTCTAGGCAGGGCCTCCTGCTGACCCAGACCTTAAATACAAGCAGACCCAGCAACCCAGTAGCCGGGTGCATCCCTGTGAGAGCAGTCCTCTCTCCTGTCTCTGACACTCGCCCCCCAGTCCCACTGCAGTTTGGGCATGGCGCCAGCACCCACGTCACACCCTGAAATGCCAGGCTTCCTGGGAGGATGAAGACTTAGGCTCTCCCGTGAAGCTGAGGGGGAGGCTCCTTGGCACCTAGTTCCAGGAAGGCAAAGGCAGGGCAATAAATTCTGATCTGACCCTCTGGTTGTCTCTTCCTCGAGTGTCTTCCGGAGCCTCATCTGTCCACGTCACGGTGTTTCTCCCCATGGTGGGCATGTGTGCACCTGTGTGTGTGTGTATATGTGTGGCGTGTGTACCACATGTTCTGACGGAGGCGCTGCCCCTACAGTGCGGAGGTTTCATGCTAATAGAATGGTTTCATTCACACCTGCTGTTTGTCTACCTTGTGTCTCCAGGCTCCGGAAACGAAGCTGGTGACAGCCGAGTAACTGGGCTGACAGGGAAGGGCCTGGTTAACAGGCGTGGGAGCCTGCCGGGCTGGGCAGCGATTTGGTCATCCATTTTCCTACCTGCCCAGTCTGGAGAGACGGGGTTGAGGGGCGGGGTTGTGCTCAGTCCCGCCACTGGGCGGGGCCTCCAGGAGCTCTTAGGGGAAGTCCTGGTTGAAGAGCCTGCCTGCCTCCAAATCCCGAGTGGATCTGTCTTGAGTCGGAAGGTCGCTGCTGCCACGGCAACTGGACACCGCTACGGCTAGGCTCCAGCCCAGATCTGATTGAGAACGGCCTCATACTGGCCCAGGAGCCGCCCGGAGCTGGCCCAGGGCTCCGGGACCCAGAGAAAGCTTACTTCCCGTACGGAGGACCCCGGCCACACGCCGCGAGGTCAGTACCTGGAGTGAAGGTGGAGTCCAGACCTTGTTCGGGCCCTGAGGGAGACCCCAACCCTCACACCCCCAGACACCTTACAGCCTGGGGTCCCCGGCCCCCCCATCCTGATGGCTGCTTTGAGATCCCCAGCCAACCTTCGACCCCCCTGAGCTCCAACGGGCTGGACACACCATGCCAAGTTGTGGCAGGTGAAGGAGCGAACAGCGTGGCTCCCGGGTCGCCCCCGGATGCCGGGCCACTGGAGAGAGAGCCCCTACTGGGGGCTGTAGCTTCCACCCACGCCGTGACCCCACTTACAGACAGCGAGGAAGATGAGTGTCCCATTTGCACTGAGCCCTATGGGCTGGGTGAACACCGCCTGACACTGCTCAACTGTGGCCACGGTCTGTGCACCGGCTGCCTGGACCGGCTACTGGGTGCCGCCCCCAGCGCTGACCTGGGACGTGTACGCTGCCCCTTGTGCCGCCAGAAGACACCCATGCTCGAGTGGGCCATCTGCCAGCTGCAGGAGGAGCTGCTACAAGCTGATGGACCTCAGAGACCCCCGCCGGAGGCGCCGACCCCACCCCCGCCACGCGGCCCTGGGCCGTGGGCTGCCCTGGAGCAGCGCTACCAGCTGCGCTTCCTAGTGCGGCCGGTGGCCAGCCGGGGCTGCCTGCCCTTCCTCCCCTGCCCGCCCTGCCTGGGCGCTCGACTCTGGACCCTTCGGGATCGCGGACCGTGCGCCCGCCGCCTGGCATTGTTAAGTCTGCTGGGCCTGGAGCTGCTAGGCCTGCTGCTCATCTTCACACCGCTCCTACTGCTCGGGCTGCTCTTCGTGTCCCTGGACCGGGCCAGTCGCTGAGTGGGTGCCTGGGCAGCACCTGACCCGAGGCCCTGGCTTAAATCCCCAAGTTGAAGGCAGTCATCAAGAGCTGCCATCCTTACTCTATGGCCTGGACACTGTCCTCCCAAGGACAACCAGTGGTGGGGCGACCAGGACGGAGGCCAGCAAGCTCAGTGGGCAAGAGACCAGGGAAGTTCACGTGAGCCCAGTGTAGAGCCGCTCACCACCCACCTGATTCCAGATACGGTCCAGTGTCAGTCCGGCAAGGTCAGAACTGCTGATGGGAGAGGCCAGCTCCGCCCACCACAAGGACCTCCTCACCCGACCAGAGTGGTGTGGGCACGGGCAATAGAGCCACCTCTCCTTGACCAAGGTCCCTCCGGGACAGTGGCCAGGGTCTCAGAGGTCTGGGTGCCCACGATGGCTGGGCTCAAGTCCTGCTTTGCTCTCCATGAACTGCCCATGCAACCTCAGCTGGTAAGGGCGTGTTACTGAGCCCATTTTCTACCTGGGAAAGGAGGTGGCCCCACATTACCTCATGGACTGTAGGTGAGATGATGGGAGAGCCCAGCACAGCAGTGGCTCTCAATAAACCGGTACAATGTCACTAATGTTACTACTGACCCTGTCATCATTACGCTTCCCCTCCGCTACCCCTAAGCCAGCTTCTCCTCCAAACCTAACTGGCTTCAAGTGCTGGACAGGAGTTAACGTTTGTCCCAAAGCCTTGCTAACCTGCCCAGAAAGTCGTTCCCACACCATCTGAGAGCACGCAGCCCCAGATCAGGACCTGGTGGACAACAGGACCCCGCACAAGCAGCCCATCCCTGTCCTTTTACCCACTGGACCCGCTCTGCCCCAGCACTGGTAGGCTGCTCCACCATGGAGCTGCTCACAGGCCACCAGGCCCACCACCAGGCACCACCCACAGTCTCAGAGATAGTCTGAGCTCCCTGCAACAGCTCCGGACCAGATGTCTGGGGTGAATCTAGGTAGGCTCCCACCCAGGGAACAAGGTGCAAACTTTGGCAAAGAGTTTTAATGGCAGACATGACTGCAGCGACAGTACCACACAGGGTGGGTGTGGAGGGGTCAGCAGGTGGGTGGGCAGGGTCCCTGGAAAAGCAAGTGAGGGCTGGCAGCAGCAGCAGCAGCAGCGGTGTTGGGGGCTACATGATGGAGCAGGCGGAGAGTGGGTTCCTCACGTGGCAGGTGCACGCGGCTCCGCAGTACTGCCGGAAGGTCTGGTAGCAACTGCCCTCAGGTTCGCCACCCCACTGGCCGCTGGGTGGAGCGGTCAGTGCCTCGGGAGGCAGGCGGCTCAGGATGGACGTGTTGACAGCCAGTGCAGCCAGGCCGTAGTCCGTGAAGAGCACGGTGTCGCGGCGGCAGGTGGGACAAGAGATGAACTTATACTTAGGACACGACTCATACAGAATTTGCAGGCACTGTTCACAGACCGAGTGCAGACAGGATAGTACACGCGGCCGCCGCTGGGTGACGTTGTATGTGTGCCCACACGTGGGACACTCCAGGGGCTCCCCAGATGCAGCCGAGGGAGCTCCCGGGGCTGCCGGGCCTGGCCGCATGACATACTGGTTCACAATGACCTCGTCCGCTGGGGCCACACGGGTGAAGCCCAGCTCTGCACTGCCTTTTCTGGGCCGACGAGGCAGGGGTGGGGTGTGGGGCGTCCCTTCCAAGGTAGGCATGTCCCCCCCACATGCCTGGTTGACGATGATTTCTGTGTCTGAGGGCCAAGCACGCTTAGGTGCCAGGGCAGGGGTGGGCCGGGGTGCGGGGGTAAAGCAGGGGGCAGCCGATGGTAGCTCTGGAAACTTCTCAGGGTGCACGATCTTCATGGCCTCCATCTTGAGGATGACGTGGGGGCCCTTCAGGCAGGACATGAGGAGGCCTGGCCAGCCGCTGCCCACCTCCGGCCCAGGGTCAGCCGGCATCCGGCTGTCTTCGGTCAGACTGGACGTTCGGGTGAGCGGGGACATGGGGTGGGGCCGGGGGGGAGGCAAGGGGGCAGCATCCTGGTCTCGCCAGGTTTTGGGGGGACCCCGGCCGCCCCTTGAACTCCTGGGGGCGGCCGGTGAGAGCTGGGGGGGCAGGGCCCCCCCAAGTGGCCACAGTGCCTTCTCTGGTCCAGTCCTGGGAGGAAGAGGAAGGGGTGGGGGTGGGAGGCGAGGGCAGGGAAGCGTGGGAAGCTGCCCTGGGCTGGGGATCTCACCCAGGGTCTCACCCAGGGTCCTGGGCTTCGGAGGCTGGCGAGGGGGTGTGGGGGGGGCTCCCCCTGCAGCCGGGGTCAGCAGTTCCCTCCCCGGGACATCCGGGCGGGCGGGGGCTAGGTGGGCCCCATGGCTCCAGGACAGGGCTCCCAGGGAAGGCAGCTAGCCTGTCCCCTGGCCTCCCAAGGACTTGGGCCGCAGGCGCGTCGGCAGGAGCGGAGGAGAGGCCTGTACCAGGCCCGGGCTGCAGAGGAGAGACGCATGAGGGCGGCGCCTGGGCCACACACCTCCCGGGTCCGCGGCCCCCTCTGCACAAAACCGGCGAGCTTGACCTCCGACCCTGACCTGGCCGCGGGAGCCCTACCTCCGCCAGTCGTGGGACCCAGCCCCTCCCAGCGCCCACCCCCAAGTCGAAGGCACCTTCCGCAGGATCCGCCCTTCCCAGCGTGGAAATAGAAGCCCGACCCCGGGGGCCGCAGCGGCCGCCCCGCCCCACCCCGCGCTCACCTGCCCCAGCCTGGCGTCCGAGGCCGCGCGCCGTCGCCGTCGCCGCTACAGAGGTTGTCTGAAAGGCAGGCCTAGATGCGGCCCCCACGCCTCGGCAGCGGCTCGGGCGGTACCAGCGGGCCTGCGGCGACCTCGGCGGACGGGAGGGTGGCCGGGATTCAGGGGCACTGGACTGGACTGGGCTGCGCTCGGGCCCGTGCGGCGGCGGTGGCGGCGGTGGCGGCGGTGGCGGCGGTGGCGGCGGTGGCGGCGGTGGCGGTGGTGCGGCAGGTGCGTGCGGAGCGTGGCGCGCTCTGCGGCGGAGGCGCAGGGACCGCAGTGCGCGCGGCGCCCGCCCGCGCCCGCAGCGCCACCACCCGTCTGGGAACCCGCGCAGGGTCCGCGGGGCGGAGCTAGCCTCTTGGCCGCCCCTCGGTCGGCCGGGGCCTGACGCCAGCTCCTGGAGAGACCCCTGCCCTGCCCTCTCCCTTGTCCGTGCTTGGTTGACCTGGGGGCTGGTCACCCCTACCCCAATTCTGGAGAGGAAGCTCTGTTTTTCTCCCTGAGACCTCACAATGCTGGAGAGGAAGTGGGTCCCAGGAAAGCTGGGCCCCCAGGACCCGTCCCAAGGGTCGCCGCTATGTATGGACGACCTTTCTCTGCCTTGCCTCCCACCTTCACTCACAGTCGGTGTCCTCTTTTCTTTCTGCTAGCCCCCCACTGAAACCATCCAGAAATCCAGCTTGCAGACTCAAAGCGGTAGTGGGGGCGGGGGGTGGCGATCTGCTGAAAGGATGAACAGGGAGAGGGCCGAGGAGAAAGGCAGTAGACGTGAGGGCACCTAGATGGACGGGGTGGGCGGAAGGTCAGGCAGATGACTGGACAAGTGCCAGGTGGTAGAGCAGGTGGCTAGGCACCGGAAGGGCACGTGCCTCCCCAGGGTGGGGTGGCCCCTCCTGGCACCCCACCTGGCCAGCACGTGCCCTCATGTCCCAGCTGTGGGTTGGTGTGACCTAACCCGGTAGAGGCCCATTCCTTTCTACCTGTCAGACCAGGCAGCCCGCCCCTTAGCATGGTCTCTGTGGGGAGCCCTCAGTTGAGGAGGGGGGTCCAAGGACATGCTGGTAATTCCAGGCTAGGGGGCCCCAGAAGGCCACGCCTGCCCTGCCAGGGCCGCTATGTGGCATGCTGCACATATGTGGCTGGTACCCGACCCTGGGCAGTCCCGACCCCTTTCTGGCCACAGCCCCAGGTCAGACTTCCCCTGGCATAGGGAAGGTGGCTGAGGGAGCCCACGGGCACAAAACACAATGGAGGCCCATCCCTGGGCCCCCAAGCCTGGCTTTGCTGCTCGGAGTGACGACCTCTGGCTATCTCCATTCAGCACCAGCAGTTGTGAGAGGTGCGCGGCGGGAGGGGCCGCGAGAGCCTAATTGGAGCTCTGACCAGATGGTGGCGCACCTGAGGCGGCCAGGCCAGGGGAGGGCTGGGAACACACTCCCGCTGCGGCTCTGCTCACAGACCCAGAGACTCGCGGACCGCGTGGGCGCGCACTGGAGGAGAGCCCAGCACCCCCGCCCCCCGCCCCGGCGTAGGCCCCACCCCTTTCACAGAAACCCGCCCCCTGGTTCGAGGTTCTTCGACCCTCTTGGTTCTAAGGCTGTCTATGACAAATACGGGGTCGTCCGAGGCCAATAGACCCTGATCCAGGTCTTTCGGGAGACTCTAACGCGGAGGATTCTGGGGAATAGAGCTTCCGACGCACGCCCCCTCCCAAGCATGTTTTGCGCATGTGTTCGGTTTTGACTTGTGGGTGGAGGAGGGGTGGGCGGGGTTTAAGGCGCCTGCGCTGTAGACCTCCGTCGTCCACCTCCGCTTCCGATGTCTCACGCCTTCGGCCTCCAGCTATTTCCCCCGTCATCTGGTGCCCTGACCGGTCTGACCGGCCCCACCTAGACCTCCCAGACTATGTCTGACCTGACCCCGCCCCTCCTGGGGGAGCGCAGGGTCAGGGGAAGCTCATCCCGTCCCCCCACTGCGACCCTTGGTGGGAATGACAAGGATGAGATGGGAGAGAAGAGAGCGCTATGGAAGGGGATTCTCCTGGGGGGGCGTGTGCTCCTGCCCCCGAGAAAAAGGTGCAATTGCTGAAATGGACTAGAAATGTCGCACATGTAGGAAGCCCAATGGCCACTTGTAACCAAAGTTCTCTCTGCAAAGATGTGAAAATCAAATGTTCATTGTCACTGAAAACACAGCGCCCCCACTGACATCATGTTGGTCGACAGCCTGCAGCTGATCACTTAGGTGAACGCCGCGGATCCCTGAGGGATGTGAGTGTACTGGGAGCCCCGCTCTTCACCTGGTGCCCTAGGATCTGGGTTCTGAAGCTCCCGCCATGGCCCCACTCCCACTGGGGCCGTGACCTCTGGCTCCCTCCCCACTCCTTCCTGGAGAGCTGAGGGTGGCTCAAGCCCAGGGCATGCCCGGGATGCATGGTACCTGAGTCACCTGGGCTGGTAGAGCCCCTCAGAGCCCAAGAGTGGCCACCGCCCACCTAAAGACTAGGAGAGCTCAGGAACTCACTTGGAGCCCCGCCCCGTGGCCCTGCCCCTCCCTGGGAGGGAAAAGACAACTTGCTGTGCTCAGCCCACAAGTACTGGGACCTGGAGCCCAGAGGGGACAGACAGCTGCTGCAGCCGCCACTTCAGGTGGGTACTTAATAGCGGGGTGTCCCTGCGCAGAAGGTGCCCAGAGACAGCCACCCGCTCCCCCATCGGACCAATAGCTGCATCTCCCGCCTTCACACCCCATTTTCAGCGCTATCAGAGCAACCATCCAGGTAAGGGAGAAGAACACCTGATGGGGGGGGCAGCTGGAGACACAGCCCACCCTGTACACATACACACTGTAGGTCTCATGAGGCTCAGGGTGAAGGTGGCCCTGGGGTGCTTTCTTGGGCTGCAGGCTCTGGGCTCCCTTCTTCCTCCATTGAGTCTCTTTCTCTCGTGTCCATCCAGCTGCTGTGATCAGTCAGCCACCTGCCAGGTCGTGCCATGGACCCACAAGAGATGGTCGTCAAGAACCCCTATGCCCACATCAGCATCCCCCGAGCTCACCTGCGGCCTGACTTGGTGAAGCAGCTGGAGGCAGTTCCCGCCTCATCCTCCTCGTCCCCCTCATCACAGCCTCTGCCTATGGGACCCTGTGCACCGGAACCCACCCACCTCCTGCAGCCCACTGAGGTCCCAGATGCCAAGGGGGCCAAGGGCGCCAAGGGGGCCACCCCCGTCCAGGGTCAGGAGACATGGCCGCATCCCAACAACCCCTACGGCAGCGTCCAGCGCCCAGCAGGACTGACCTATGCCGGCCTACCGCCCATCGGGCGTGGAGACGACATTGCTCACCACTGCTGCTGTCTTCCCTGCTGTTCCTGCTGTCACTGCCCCCGGTTCTGCCGCTGCCACAGTTGCTGCTGCGTCATCTCCTAGTTGGCGTGGACCCCCGGGCCCCACGGGGCACAACCACACCTCTGCTTAGGCTCGGCCCGGACATGCGGAACAGACATCTGTAGCCACCAGATAGCTTGGGCCCTTCCAACGAAGCCCTGGGCTCAAGGATACTCTTTGAGCAGCTTCTTCCAGCCGGGGTCCACACAATAAAGTGCGGTGTGCTTGGTCCCCAAGATTCTGCTCCTTTCTCCTGCTGCCCCTCTGTGTGCGGACCCTGGGCTGGAGGACAACATAGCCCACCCCCACTCCACCCCCAGCACACACACATATACACAGAACTTCCGGGACATTCCGGGACAGGGTGGTGGCTCCCTCCCTCGTGACAGAGACAATCTGGCCTCAGTGTGGGTCTCAGGTCTACCCAGAGGCAAAGCAGGGAGTGGTGGGGTGGTGGGGGCTCTAGCAGAGCTGAGGCTGGGGCTGGTCACATGACAAACTCCTGTCCTGCAAAGAACTGGGGGGCTGGGGGGTGACAGGTTTCGGGGAATCAGAACATAGGAGGGCCTAGGTGGCCAGGACCCAGCCCGGCCCACCATGAATCACCTCCCAGCCTCAGTCAGGATGCTTTTCAGGTTTCCCACAAACCATCTAATTCCTGAACCTCCACCGTGAGGTGGCCATGCCGTCCATATTCCTGAGGTCTGAACTACCTACTGGTGGTGGTAGTTGCTGACTGGAAGGATGGCAGAGCAGGGTCAGGAGAGGTCCGGCCGGCTGGCTTCCCAGCCCTGAAGCCTGGGGGTGCCTGTGTGAGGGATATGTGAGCGGCCAGCACTGAGGCAGCCGTGGCATTTCCGGGCAAGGCCAGGTCATGGAGGCAAACTGAGCTGGCCCTGCAGGACAAACAGGTCCACATGCCGACCCTCCTTCAGCACCCAGTGGCTCGCCCATCACAGGGATGCGGGCGCACAGCACATAGAGGTCTCGGGTGTGGGACAAGTGCGTCATCCATCGTGGGTCATGGGTCTGACTCCACATAGCAAGGCCAAGCGCCTTGTCCCTGCCTGGTGGATCCTGTCCCTTAGATACCTGTCCCTGCCTGCAGGACCCCACAACTCAGCTGTCAGTGGGCCCCTACCTGTCTGGGCTTCTCCCAGTCACAGAAACCTGCCCAACCGGTTGGTCCAGGCGTGTGGATGGCCAAGGGGGTGGGTAGGGATCCTGAGGGCCTACTCAGACCCAGTCCCACTGTGAGGGTCTCTGAGGCACTCGCCCTGATCCCTTCCAGCACACGCAACCACCCAGCAGGCCCGAGGGGTGGAACAGCCCGAGGGGAGGGGCCTGGGTTCAGCCTGCCAGGACAGCGGCTGCGCGGAAGAGTGGCCTGTTGGAGCCTTTGGGATTTTGACAGGCGGTGCCCGTGCGCCTCCTGGGGGCCGTACCAGACTGCTGCAGGTCTGAGATGAGAAACCGCTCATGCTAAGACCAATGGGGAAGGAACGGGCCCACAGGGCGGGCTTTCTGGAGGAGGTGACACCAGACCAAGTTGGAAAAGCTTTCTGGGTACGTGCATTAGTAACACAGAGAGAGGTGTTTACAGTCTCAGCAGAGAGGCCCAGGGACTAATCAAAGACAGGGGAGGGGGCCAGCAGAGCCAGGGTCTGGGCATGGAGGGGGCAGGTGCAGGTGCCTCATCTCCAGGAAGAGCAAGGTGCTGGGGGATCCAGTTGCAGAGCTTTGTGACTGAAAGGGGAACCCACGACTGACCGCCCGCAGCCCGCCACCTGCCTCCTTGCCGACTCATCCGCAGTCAGGCCAGTAATGCGAGCTCAAGGGAGGGAGCCGCAGTGTGCCCTGGGTACTCCCTTCCACCCGTACCAGCTGCCCTCTGGCCAGATACAGCCCAGCAGTAGGGAGCAGGTAAGAGAGCCCTGGGGCTCAGGCAGGATGGGATGGTAAGGGGTGGGGGTGCAGAAGGGGCAGACAACTGGACATGACTTGGCCAGCACCTCAGGAACCTTGGCAGCCGATCATTCCACTGGCTTCCTGTGCTTCCCCCAGATCTGGTCACAACGGGCAGCTTGGTGGGTCCAGGTTGGTGAGTGGGCCTTATCTACACAGACAGACCGCCCCAGGATGCAGCAGCCTGAGACCCCTCGGGACCCGGAGGAGGAGGCTGCCTTCACTGGGACCCAGAGGACTGACTGTATCATCTGTTACTCAGCTTACGACCTGGCCGGGCACCTGCCCCGCCGCCTCTACTGCGGTCACACCTTCTGCCAGGCTTGTGTGCGGCGGCTAGACGCCCCGGCCCATGAGCAACGCTGGATTGCTTGCCCTCAGTGCCGTCAGAGCACACCCACGCCACGTGGGGGGGTGGCCATGCTGGACCTTGACCTGGCCACCTTCCTGGCTGTCAAGGCTGAGCGGGAACCCCGGCCTCCTGGGTCCCTCAAAGGTGGCACCACCATCATCACGCAGCAGCCAGCCAGCCTCTGCCCCAGCTTGGGCCCCCAGCCCCGCTTCCCACGGCCCAGACACTGCTGCTTCTGCTGCTGGGACATCCCGGGCAGCCCCGAGGTCTGAGCTCCTGATGTTCCCACCCACCAGGAAACAGTTACAACCTCAGGACGGACGTCTGTGGTCCAGGATTTGGACTCAGGCCCAACCCGATGGGGCCCAGCGTGGAGCCACCTTGCCATGGAGACTCCTGGACCATGGTCACAGTACAATGAGCTGACCAGGATTCCCAGAACCTGAACTGCTGACGCCGCTCAAGCAGGGGGTGCGGCCACTGGAAGACAGCTCCTAAAAGGCCTCCTCTCTGGAGGGAGAACACCATGGGGGGGCATCTCCTCCACCCCATGAAGTGCCATTATCCACTCAACAACAACAACGTGCACTGAATCCCACTGAGCATTCGTGTGTTCAGGGGAGGGGGTGGTGGTGGCAGGGCCAAGTTTGTAGTTACCGGAGGTGACAGGCCAGTGTGAGGCTCAGAGAAAGTCGGTACCCCTTGGAAACTGCACATATTGGCTGGGCTGATTCCAAGCTCCAAACAAGGTTTTCTTCCCAGCTACCACCCCCAACACCGGCCTACCAGCCTCTAGCCCCAGCCCTAGACATTGTACCCCGACCCGGAAGCTGCCATTTAGGAGCCCCTGGGGGGCACTTGGGCCTGCCCTGGGCAGTGGGTGGCAGGACAGGGAGGGTGAGGAAATTTGCTGAGCAGACACACAGAAGCCGTCTCTTTCCTGGGGCAAAGTCCCCCAGGCATGGGGTGGGGGCGGTGCTGGGAGAGTGGGCCCTTTAGGAAGACCAGGCCTGTCGGGGAGGGATCCCCTGAAAAGTCAGGGCGGACTGAGTGTTTCCTGGTGCAGATGGGCGGGCAGTGGGCTGGGGCTGGAGATGAAGCCTATAGTGTCCAATGGGTCGGCACAGAGGGACCACTGGGGTTCACCACACCAAAGGCTAGCTTGCTGAGGGCTCCAGCCACACTGAAGCACCCTGCCTTGGGTACCATCAGCCACACACCTTTAGCTGGGTGTTAGGGAGTATCTGATTGGGCCACACAGGACTGTCCAGGGCCGGCACGTGGATGTCCAGGTTCCAAGGGCTGCTGCCCAGCCCTACAATATTCCTCTCCTGGCTTTGTGCCCACTTGGGGCGGGGGGAGTGGGGGATGAGCTACTCCTAGAAGCTGTGAAGGCCGGGCCAGGCTGGGTCTTGGCAAGGGTAGAATACCCAGTCAGCAAGGGAATCATGGGCTGATTTGTGCTTTCCTGCTGACCTGAGTGGACAATTTTCCATGTGTCTCACCACACCTGTTGACTATGCAGTACAGATAAGTAAGTACAGTCCAACCATGCTTCCTTTCCTTGCTGACTGGTCCTCTACCTCTGGCTGGGGTTGTCAATGTGAAAGGAGGCTTTGATTCTGTCGGAAGGTTCTGTGGGGCTGGGAGAGACAGCGACCAGCCAGACCTAGAAGCGGAATCTTTGATGTGGTGGGAATGTGTGAAAGTGTTTGCTACAGATTAGCAAGTAAGCACAAATGAGTCTGTGCTTACCCTGCGTGTATTGGGTAATCCCACACGATCCCCTGGGGGCCCCAGCTCCTGGGTAAACATTAATGGGGCTCAGCACACAGCAAGTCATGTGTGTGTTCACCCAGCGAATCTTTGACCTGCAGCCGCTCCTGAATCTCCACAGGTGGCCCTCACCACCTACACAGGTAGGCGCTCGCTCCTCAGATCAGGAACACTAGGAGTAGGGCGGGGGTGACCTCCAGGCCAAGGCTGAGGCTATCTTGAGCCTCTAGGAACCAAGGGCAAGACAGACAGACATGGAGGCAGCTAGGAGGGAGGGTCCCCTGGGACCAGAGTCAGTGGGTCAGGGGCAGAGGTTTCCGGAGAGGAGTCCTAGGGTGCATGGGGGGAACCCGATCCACTTGTCCCTGTCCCATTCCTGGAGGTGGGGCCCTTATCTAGCAAAAACGTCACCACTTGTTATCAAATGCCAAAGTCTAATCCAGGACCATCTGCTTACTATCTCGATGCCACTTGTGATAGGAAAGGTCCCTGGGTTCCCCAGCTCGGGCCCAGACACTTCCGGCCGGCACTCTGTGGCCTCAATCAGTGCCGGGCTTTCTCTCAGCCAGGACCAACAAGGGAGTGGGGAGCCAGGGTCCCTTCGACTCTGTCCCCCAAACTGGACGGGGCTCGCCTGACAGCAGCCTGAGGTCATTGTGGCCAGCCCTCTGTGGGTGGTGAAAAGGGGGTCACCAAGGGGGTGGGAGGATCTGTTTGGTCAGGGGAGGGGGGTAGGGAGAGGAGGACCCTGACAGCCCCTTCCCCCACAGATCTGGGATTGGGCCTGGGTCTGCCTCTGCCTGAAATCCATGTCGAGTCCCCTCACTGGCAGCCAGGCCCCCTACCCCTCTGTGGACACGGTGGACCTGGTAGACCAGAGTCTGAAGAATGCAGGTACCAGGGGCCACAGCACCCAGCCTGCCCCTACCCCCATCCCAATGGCATGCCCCAGACCAGGAGGGGACAGGACTCTGCCATCCCGAGAACCCACGTGGGCTCCTAACAGCTCCGGTCAGGGCCTGACACATTGGAGGATCTGTCTCCCTTCTGCTCTGGCCTCACCCCAAGCCCTTGCAGGCTCAATCCCTGCTCTGCCCTGCTGCCCTCTGCCCCTACCCTGGGGTCCTGGAAACAGCTAGGCCCCTGGCCCTACTTGACTCGGGTCCCTGCAGGGGCCACTGGCTCTGGCCTGACCTTGGAGGATGGAGGCACAGACCCCTGGGCCCTCCCTCAGCTTAAGGATACCAGCCAGTCCTGGAAAGGTACATCTGGAGGCGTTGGGGCGGTGGACGGGCAGTGACCACCTATGGGTCTGAATATGGAGCAGGGACTTGTGGGGGACAAGTGGTCCAGACTGGGACCCCTCAGGGCTGGTCCTCCTGGGACAGGGAAGTGGGATGGTGTCCATTCCCTGGGGGACAGAGGAGGAGGGGTCTGGCTGAGGACAGCTGTGCCCGCCTTGTGCCGTTAGAGCTCAGCGTGGCCCGCAGGGTGCGGCGGGTGGTCATTGGCTTCCTCAAGGCCTGTGGCCTCCTGGGCAACCTCTACCTCTTCATCTGCTCCCTGGACATCCTCAGCTCTGCCTTCCAGCTGCTGGGCAGTGAGTGACTGGTCAGGGTCAGCAGGGGAGGGAGCAGGTCCAGGAGAGTGGGACAGGTAGTAGGGGAGGGCAGTGCAGTTGGTTGGGGGGGGGGCCAGGACCAGCAGAGAGAGGTCAGGACAATGGGGCACAGGGCAGCAGGGCGAGGGCAGGGCAGCGAGGGGGCACAGAGCAGTTAGGAGGTGCTGGGCAGTGGAGCCGCAGTACGGTGAGGGGTGAGGGGGACACAGAGAAACAGGGTGTGGGGAGCAAGGCCAGCCCTCTGCAGCTTTAACGCTGCTCTCTCCCGGGTACAGGCAAAGTCGCTGGAGACATCTTCAAGGACAACGTGGTACTGGCCAACCCTGTGGCTGGCCTGGTCATTGGTGTGCTGGTCACAGTCTTGGTGCAGAGTTCTAGCACCTCCTCCTCCATTGTGGTCAGCATGGTGGCCTCCAATCGTGAGTGTCTCAGTTCCAGAAAGGGCACAGGGCTGGTGGGCAGGCAGGTGGGCAGGGCTGACGTGGTACCCCCCGCAGTGCTGACCGTTCAGATGTCGGTGCCTATCATCATGGGTGTCAACGTGGGCACGTCCATCACCAGCACCTTGGTCTCGATGGCACAGTCTGGAGACAGGGATGAGTTCCGCAGGTGAGCAGCGGGCCAGGAGGGTGACCTGGGGTAGGGCTGGGGCGGGACACGTAGGCCAGAAAGGGTGGGCTGGGGCTCCTGCCCAGGGCCTCAGCTGTGCACCACCTGCAGGGCTTTTGGCGGCTCGGCTGTGCACAGCATCTTCAACTGGCTCACGGTGTTGATCCTGCTGCCCTTGGAGAGTGTGGGGGCAGTGCTAGAACGACTCAGTGCCCTGGCCCTAAGTGCCGCCAGCCCGGAGCCAGGGGCTCACACACCGGACATCCTCAAGGTGCTAACAAAGCCATTCACACACCTCATCATTCAGGTGAGGGTACTGCATCCCATGCTGGAGGGGAAGAGAGGAGAAGAAGGAGATCTGGGTCCTGCCTGGGGTGGAGGGGACAGCGGAGGTGGGCGGAGAGGGCAGGGCTAGGTAGAGGTGCGCTAGGCTGGACCCTGAGGGCAGCCAGGACACAGTTCCACTCTTCTGCCTTCAGCTGGACACTGACTTAATCGGGGGCAGTGCCTCGGGTAATGCCACCACCAGAAGCCTCATTAAGCAGTGGTGTGGCACCAAGACACAGACGGTGAGGTGTCTGCGACCCCAAACCCTGATGGGACCCCTGACTCCCACCTGCTCTGACCCCTTGGTCTCCTGCCTGCTCACCTGACCTAGTCCTCCCTCCTCAGATTCAAAACAGCACCACCTGCGACACGGCCGACTGTCCCCTGAGTAATGGCACGGTCCTCGAGGACAGGCTGCCCTGTGAGCCCCCCGTCCTGCCCTTGTGCCCTGTCTGAAACTGGGCATGGGGCCCCGCTGACCACCCCCTGCCCTGCCTTGCCAGGCCACCACCTGTTTGTGGGCACGACGCTCAGTGACCTGGCCGTGGGCTTCATCCTACTGGCCGCCTCCCTGCTGGTGCTCTGCGCCTGCCTCGTCCTCATCGTGAAGCTGCTGAACTCGGTGCTACGTGGCCGCATCGCCCAGGTTGTGAAGACCATCATCAACGCTGGTGCGGGCAGGCAGGCAGGCAGGCCTCGGGTGGCCGGGGGGTGGGGGGAGGAACCGTGTGGAGAGCCTGCGGAGCCTGGTAGTCTGGTGTAACCAGGGTCTCCCCAACAGACTTCCCCTTCCCGTTTGGCTGGCTAAGTGGCTACCTGGCCATCCTGGTGGCCGCTGGCCTGACTTTCGTGGCCCAGAGCAGCAGCGTGTTCACAGCTGCCATTGTGCCTCTGATGGGTGAGTGTGGGGACAATTGAGGGCACAGCAGGGCATGGGCATGGGGGACACGGCCAGGTCCTGTGGTGACTCCCAGCTCCCCCAGGGGTCGGGGTGATCAGCATGGAGCGAGCCTACCCGCTCTTCCTGGGTTCCAATGTTGGGACCACCACCACGGCTCTGCTGGCTGCCCTGGCCAGCCCCTCGGACATGCTGCTCAGTGCTCTCCAGGTACAGCCCATGGTCACCTGAAGTCCCCTCGATGCCCTGTCAGCACTGGGGTTTGTCCTCAGAGCCAGTTCCTTCTTGTCCAGCCCTGTGGACAGGAGGTGAGTGGTCTGCTTTAGGGCCCCTGGCTGGCCTTGGCCACACTCTTCCAGACCCTCACCCCTGGCTGCCACTCAGACCGACAGTCCCACCTCCTTGGACGCTGGCTCCAGCCTCCCTCTCGTACCCTCTGCCTGAGTGCCCAGACAGGTTCGCCTCGAGAGAGGCTGACCAGTCGTCCAATGCCCATGAGAAAAGACAAGCCTACCCACCCCCACCCCCAACGCCAACCCAGGCCTCTGCCCGTCTCTGGGTCTTGGAGTCCAAGGGCTCTGTGCTCTCTCCACACATACCCTCCTCCCAACAGAAGGGAAGGAGAAGGCAATGCCCAGTCCACCTAGGAGAGGGTTGGACCCACCACAGGGAAGTGCATGAGGGCAGTGAGAGAACTATCCCATTGGGGTGCCATCTGCACCCTGGCCTTCCCCCAGAGTGTGCAAGGTCACCTGAAGTCCCCTCGATCTCTATTCAGATCTCTATTCAGCAGATCTCTATTCAGCCACTGAGTCAGACCTGCAACAAGCTTCAGAGTTGGGGTCCCTGTTTCTGGGGGCACCTTGCCTCACTTGGTTCTGCACTTGTCCCTCCTGCCAGGTGGCCCTTATCCACTTCTTCTTCAATGTGATCGGCATTCTGCTGTGGTATGTGGTACCCGTTCTGAGGCTGCCCATCCCATTGGCCAAGCACTTCGGGGACGTGACTGCCCGCTACCGCTGGGTGGCCATTGCTTACCTGTTGCTCAGCTTCCTACTGTTGCCCCTGGCCGCCTTTGGCCTCTCCCTGGCGGGTACCACCGTGCTGGCTGCGGTAGGGGGGCCCCTAGTGGGGCTGCTGCTCGTGGTGGTCCTAGTTAATGTCTTACAGCGGCGCCGGCCAGCCTGGCTGCCCCCCTGCCTGCGATCGTGGGCCTGGCTCCCACGCTGGTTACGCTCCCTGGAGCCCTGGGACCACCTGTTCAGCCGCTGCTGCCCCTGCAAGACCTGCAGTACCCCTCCAGCTAGCGACAAGGAGACTTACTGCTATGAGAACCCAGAGATTCTGGCCTCCCAGCCTCTGTGAGAGACAGACCACAACAACCCTCCAGTCCCACTGCCCAGTACCCCGGGGGTCCGCAGAGCCTCGGAGTGCTTCGTCATCTGCTCCCCCTGCTTTGAAAATAAAGGAAACTGCGTCCAGCTTCGGTGGTCTTTACCCACCCTGAAACAAGAGCTGCCTGGGGAGGATGCTTTGGGCTGGCTTCCTGGAGGGTTGGAAATTGAGGGCATCAGTGCTGCCCCCTTGCAGACCCTTGGGGAATGACAGGATGCCGGCGTGGGAACTAGGCGGTTCCGGGGCGTGTGGGGACAGAAGTGACCTCCCGAGCCCCTGCTTGTAACTGTGTTTCCCTCCATGGCCACTGGGGACAGAGAACATAGAGTAATGGCCAGTCTGGAGGGTGGAGACTGCGGGTGGACCAGAGTCCCTCCCGGAAGGGTGCAGAAGAGGTGCGCTAGAGAAAGCTGGGCCGCTCATCCGGCCCTCCCTGCTTTTGCCCACCCACATCCACTTGTGGTAGTCGGCTTGCAGGCGGTCGTGGTCTGAGCCTTAGGAGTTGTAAGGATGGTTTGTCCCCCAGGGACCCCCCTCCAGTTTGGTTCTCTCTCTCTCTTTAGGACTCTTCTTCAGGGCGGGACTCCAGGAATCTATCCCAGGCTGTGGGGGCTGCCGAAGGTGGGAGGCCCCTGGGCTGGGGTTTCCCAGGCACATCCCGATTGTGCCGACCTGATCCACGAGGGGGCGCCACGCGGCTCAGCTCCCGATACCTACCGGAAGCCAGTCTTGCGGGTGGGGCCGATGCACCTAGAGACCTCATTCCCTGAGCCTGCGGTAGTGCAAACCCCCGCTCCAAGTCCACAGTACCTTCTGAGACCTTGCACCTGAGTGTGCACCTGCCCAGAACATGCCCGCACAGCAGGTGGGGCTGCTAGGAGGGGGGAGGCCCAGGAACTCCGTACAGACCGGCGTCCCACTCTTCAGGGTCATGTTTCCGCAGGAAGACTGGTCCTCAGAGCTGGGTAAGCAAACACCAGGGGAGAAGTGGCCACCCACAGCCTCCTGCCCAGAGCTGCCCACGCCCCAGCCTGACTCCTAGGCCTACCCAAGGAAGGAATTCTGTGAATCATGCCCACCGCCCCCCCCAGAACCCATTCTTTTAGCTGGGGCGTGTGCACGACAGACTGACCATTCTTGGGGGCCCATCTGCTGACACCTTTCTAGAATGCGGGGCAGTAGGCTAAGCTTCGCCCATCCATGGCTACTCGCCGAAGACCCATCCCTCCTGGGAGCCCAGATCAACCCCTGGGGGCTGGGGAAAACTGGTCAAGGAAACCAGGGTCATTTCTTACCAAAATCCTGTCCTTTCACTCCGCCTTGGACCCCTTAGGTTCCCCCAGTCTCTGGATAGTCCCTGCCAGAGCCAGGGGAGGGGGTGGGGATGCAGCTCTGGCACCATTGGGCCCTCATCAGTGGGCTTCAGCAAGAACCAAGGCCCACCCCTCACCCCACAGCTCTGCACCCTAGTTTAGACCCCGCCCACCAGCCTGGTAGTGTCCGTCTGCTGTTCCCCTAGGGAGAGGCCAGGCCTGGCCAGTGCCCTGGGGACGGAGAGGCGGCAGGAGAGGCAGTGAGGCCCTTGTGAGAGAGCAGAGGGTGAAGCGCCCCACACACCCCTCCTTCCGGGGCAGATGAGGCCACCCACAAAGACTGACCACTGGGTCTTTTGAGGCTGGAGGTAACACACCCTCCCGCTGGGACCATGGCCACTGGTAAACGGAGCGTCCTTGAGGACTTGCTGCCGACAGCTGGGAGCACAGTGGGAGGGGCTGGCTGGCACCATTGGATAAGACACTGATCCAGGGCACCTCTTGCCCGGCCTGCCCCTGAACTGAAGCCAGACTGCCACCAACACTACCCAGCCCAGGGTCTACCCTCTCATCTCCAGACTGGGACCCATGGCCATCTGCACCAGCTGAAGCCACAGTCTCCACCAGGCAGGGCAGTGTGAGAGAGGGCACCTAGTGCCCAGAGAGTGCTGGACCCGCTGCTATAGCCGGTCTTGTTGTATGCCCCCAAGTCAGTTCTAATAGCGATCCTGATCCTGAATAGGGGTTCAGAGGAGCGGCTGGTGGGTTTGAACCACTGATCTTGCAGTGAGCTGTCCAGTGCTAATCCTATAGTGCAAAACAGGGTGACCTGCCGACCGACCCTCACAGCCCGTAGGGGAGAAGCCGCATCTGCAGCAGCTAGATGGGCAGATCTTTAAAAAGAGGCAGGAATGGAGCTCTAAACACATCCAAAGCAAACCGGAAACTTCTCCCCTGACTCTTCCTTCTGGATTTGTGACAGCCCTGTCCCGTGCCTACTACATAGGCAGTGAAGCCACTTGGCAACCAAGTCAAGGAGGTTGTAGGCACGGTGAGCACCCCAGGACCGGAGTGACCCTCCCCATCCGCCAAGGGACAGAGACGTGGCCTAGCTTGGATAGTGAACAGAAACCAGCCCAGCCTTCCTGGACCTCTGGCCCTTCCTTCAGAGACTGTCCAGCACACTGACACGATGCACCCCCAGACCAGGACTTCAGCAGATAGACCCAGGGTGAGCACTGCTGCGGATGCTCTCTGGTCCTGGGGGCCTAATTTGACCCAAAGATGAACTGTTTCCATTGGAACCACAGCAGATTTGCCTAACTTTGATGAGGAAGGGAAGGCCAAGGGGGTGAGGAATTCAAGGAAACTAGAATCCAAAGATCCTCCCTGGTTCTCCCCACCCTTGACCACAGCAAGGGAGACGGTCCAGGACAATACCAAGCATGGATCTTGCTTTGAAATGTTTACATATAATGTAAGTGTATTTCATAAAAATGATTGAAGGTGCAACCACATGTCAATTTAACTGCTATTCCTTTATAATTTTAGGGGTTTCTTTTTCCCCAGCTATAAATCAGGGGAAAATAAAAGCACATCTCAGCCCAGGCATGCTGAGCTACGAAGCCCGGAGACGGATCCCATGCTCACCAGGGGAGGTCCCTCTCGTCTCCCATGCTCACCAGGGGAGGTCCCTCGCACCACCACCCTGGTCTCCAGGCAGACTGGTGCGCTTCTGGGGCTCAGACACCAAGGTGACCGGGCACTAGGCCAGCGTCTCTACAAACACAGCCCGCGCGCGGCTGCCAGAGGCAGGGCCCCCGGTCTGGGCCAGATCCGTGCTCCCAGGGAGCAACTGAGGCGAAGGAGGAAGCGGCCGGTGCGCCAGGCCCCAGGTGCCCCCCTCACCTGACTACGGGGTTTGGGGCACGAGCAGGGAATGCTGGAAGCTCTCCCGCCCCACCTCCACAGGACTCCGCAGTTGCAGGGGGAAGAGACATGCCCCCTCCTCCACCCGCCTCGGGTCCCAGCGCCGCCCATTTGGCTCCAGCGTCTTGTTTATTTTTTAGCGTTACTAGCAACGTGCCCCTCCCAGCCTGGAGACCTCCTGGGGCTCGACAGCATGCGTGTCTTTTAAGGGGGGCCCAGGCCCTCTCCAGGCGCACTCCCTGCCCCAACTTCGCGGGCTCCCTTTCTCGGGCCCCGCCGCCCCCACCCCAGGGCCCCCGCACAGCGCAGACACCGGCTAGCCCACGCGCCCCGGTTCCGTGCCCCCCCCAGAAAGCGCCCACGCTGGGCCCAGGGGAGGCCTGACTCGTCTCCCAGGGCAGGTGCGGCTGCCCTCCAGGATGCAACACCGGGGCTGCAATGATCCGCTCCGCCGCGCGCGCGCGGGATCGGACCAGCAGCAGCTCTGGAGGCGCGGTGAGGCCCTCTGCATTGCCTAGGCCCGGACCCTCCTTGGCCTCCGCCCTAGGATCGGTCCCGCCACGACCCCTCCGGGCCTGTCCTTGCCCCCACCGGCCCGCGTGGGCTGCGTCGCCGGGCCAGAAACCCGCGCCCTGACACAAGCGTGCGCGCCTGGAGCCCGCGCCCGCCATTCGGCGCGCGACTCCCGCTGCACTGCGGCGGTTACCAGGACGCTAGCTTGCCCCGGCCAATAACACCAGTTGGCCGGCGTGTTACCCCGCGCCAGCCAATGAACGCACAAATCAATCATTTGAAACACCCAATGGAAAGAGCACTGCGGCGCGAGAGGTGGGGATTTCGATAGGGAGCTCCGAGGACACGGCTGACCAATAAAGAACTCTCCGCGTTAGGAAGGCGGGTCTTAGGGGGCTCGATGGACAGGGTATCAGCCAATAAAACTAAAACAGCTTGTCAGCCTCGTTCTGGCAGCCCAATACGAGGTCTGAGGAGGCGGGCGCCGCAACTATATAAAGGTTCGCCGAGCGTCGGTTGTAGCAGTCTGCGCGTCCGCTCTTCCGCTCCAGTTTTCGTCCTTCTGCCCGCGCTGCCACCGTCGCCACCATGAGAGAAATCGTGCACCTGCAGGCCGGGCAATGCGGAAATCAGATCGGCGCCAAGGTGAGCGGCGGGGCACCAGGAGGGGTACCAGCATCGGGTTTGCTGGCGGCCGGAAAGATGGCGGCGGCGGGCGGGCGGCGCCCACGCATTGCGGCCCCGGAACCGCGGCCCCGAGGTCCCGTACTCCGTGGGGGTCGGCGGATACGGGGCGGCGCAGGTCGGGGGCCGGTGCAGGCTGGGGCCCCGCGGCGGTGGCGGCGCGGCGCGGAGGAGTCGGGTGGGGGGGGCCACACCCGTCCGGGGCGGGGCCGCCTCCCTGCGCACCGGCCTGGCATGACTCAGCCCGCCGCCGCGTCTCCTGCAGTTCTGGGAGGTGATCAGCGATGAGCATGGCATTGACCCCACCGGCACCTACCATGGCGATAGTGACCTGCAGCTGGAGCGGATCAATGTGTATTACAACGAGGCCACCGGTGAGGTTTCTGACCAACCGCATCCCCTCCCCCTCCGTGCACACCTTCTCCCCTCACACCCGCTCTTCCTGCGCCCCCAGGTGGCAAGTACGTGCCCCGTGCGGTGCTGGTGGACCTGGAGCCGGGCACCATGGACTCGGTGCGCTCCGGGCCTTTTGGGCAAATCTTCCGACCCGACAACTTCGTTTTCGGTGAGCAGGGGCTGGGGGCCGTGTGGGCGGCCAGTGAGCCAGGACGGGCAGGCCCAAGGTCAGCACTGTCAGATTCCTCCTCCTCCCAAAGTCACTCAATCTCCTTTCCTAAATCGGCTTTGGGAGGAAGGCCCAGCTGTCCCGGCAGGCAGATGTCATCGTCCTGGAGGTCTTCTCCGACTGCCCTCTCGAGGGGCTGATGTGTGGTCAGGCCACCTCTACTGTAGTCCCTGACTTCGTTTTCAGCGGAACTCCCTGAAGTGTTAATTGGCTTGAGGGTTCTGTCTGCTTTGCTGCCTCAGAATAATCACGTCATCACGGATGGGTGGAGTGACCGGTGGTGGCCTTGGGCCTGGCTGAGGGTGACTGGTGGCTGTTTTCTCTCAGGTCAGAGCGGTGCTGGAAACAACTGGGCCAAGGGGCACTACACTGAAGGAGCAGAGCTGGTTGATTCCGTGCTGGACGTGGTGCGGAAGGAGGCTGAGAGCTGTGATTGCCTACAGGGCTTCCAGCTGACCCACTCCCTGGGCGGGGGGACAGGGTCTGGGATGGGCACCCTCCTCATCAGCAAGATCCGAGAGGAGTACCCAGACAGGATCATGAACACGTTCAGTGTGGTGCCTTCGCCCAAGGTGTCGGACACTGTGGTGGAGCCTTACAACGCCACCCTCTCCGTGCACCAGCTGGTGGAGAACACAGATGAGACCTATTGCATTGACAATGAGGCCCTCTACGACATCTGCTTCCGCACCCTCAAGCTGACCACACCCACCTACGGAGACCTGAACCACTTGGTGTCAGCCACTATGAGTGGGGTCACCACCTGCCTACGCTTCCCAGGCCAGCTCAATGCTGACCTGCGGAAACTGGCTGTAAACATGGTGCCCTTCCCCCGTCTGCACTTCTTCATGCCTGGTTTCGCCCCACTGACCAGCCGGGGTAGCCAGCAGTACCGGGCCCTGACCGTGCCCGAGCTCACCCAGCAGATGTTTGATGCCAAGAACATGATGGCGGCCTGTGACCCGCGCCATGGTCGCTACCTGACGGTGGCCGCCGTCTTCCGGGGTCGCATGTCCATGAAGGAGGTGGACGAGCAGATGCTCAACGTGCAGAATAAGAACAGCAGCTACTTTGTCGAATGGATCCCCAACAACGTGAAAACCGCTGTCTGCGACATCCCGCCCCGAGGGCTGAAAATGTCAGCCACCTTCATCGGTAATAGCACGGCCATCCAGGAGCTGTTCAAACGCATCTCGGAGCAGTTCACTGCCATGTTCCGGCGCAAGGCCTTCCTGCACTGGTACACGGGCGAGGGCATGGACGAGATGGAGTTCACCGAGGCCGAGAGCAACATGAATGACCTGGTGTCCGAGTACCAGCAGTACCAGGACGCCACGGCCGAGGAGGAGGGCGAGTTTGAGGAGGAGGCCGAAGAGGAGGTGGCCTAGGGAGGTGGGGAGGTCTGCGAGTGGGGAAGCAGAAGCAGCGTGATCTCTTTATTCACTCACAACCTGTTCTGATAACGTGACTCACGGTCCTGCACTTGCTGGTCTCTCACGTCACATGCTGTCCTGACATGTGCATTAAAGCATTTTCATAGTGTGAGTCTCCGCCTCTCCACTTCCTTCTGATAGGCCTTTCGCGTGCTGTTTCCGAAGGTCATTGCGTAGTTGTCTTGCATGGCTGGTGGGAGGGTGGCAGGGAAGACACTTGTGGTTGAGCCCTGGCTCCCTGGCCCGGGCCCCCTTGGGACTCCAGCCTGGGCCACGCCAGCCCCCACGTACTCACATGGTATGAAGCCCATGTAGAAGGGAATCAGGCCCTGGCTGTTGTAGATGGTATTGCTGGGCCAGTGAGTCTTGGGCAGTCTCTCACCCAGGGTACAGACAGGGTTCCTGAACATGAACTGGGAACATACGGTTGCTGACTTGCCACCTCAGCCCTTGACCTAGAAGTTCATGGGCTGGGGGCTGCCCTGCTCTGAGGACAAAGGTAAGGTGGGGGGAGATGGCTGGCCATTACACACTGCACCAGCGTGCTGGGCTGAGACTCTGGGCAGACCTCCCTAAGGGACAGACGTACCTGGTTCCTGTCAAATTCGTCCATGGCCTGAGTGACCCCTTCTCGGTAATTCATCCCCATCACCCAGGCAAACCTGGGCACGAAGCCCGCATAACCTGAAGGGAGAGGAGCCAGCAGGGTGGGTGTTCCCCCCCCCACCCCATGTCCAGGGAGCATTGGGCTGCCCCTTGGAGCCTGAGGTCTAGGGGGAGGCCAGAACTTTGCTTGTTGTCAGGGAGGGCACTCTTCTGCCTTCCTCATCTTCCACCTGGGCCCCAAGCCTACTGAACTCGGGCCTCTAGCACCCACCTGAAATAGCATTACGTTGGATCAAGTTGGGGCGGTCCAGCTGGGGCAGCCTCTGGTACCTTTCCACGTCCAGAGTCTCTGATTGTTGGGGTGGGGGCAGGTGCTCATCCCTTCGATAGTGATAGAGCTGGGGGAAGGGGAGGAACCAAGTCATCTTACAGACCCTGGGTGTGGGGTGAGACTAAGTCTGTGCTTAACCTCCCAGTTACCTGGTATTGACCTGGAGTCTCATGGAGGGACTGGGGGCTCTTCCAACCTGCCTCTCCATATGCCAGCCGCAGGCCTGGGTGCCCAAAGTCTTTGTAGTCTCCCTGCCTGCCTGGTGGGCATGGTGGGTAGGGAGGGTAGGGCATGACGCCTGTGGGCAGCAGCGCCTTCCTGGATCTGCTCTCGGCCCCCAGCAGCCCTGGGGTATCTGATTCCTGGGGTGGGTACTGGCCCAAGATCTCGAAGTTCTTGTAAGGCTTGAGACCTGCATAGATCGCATCCGGTGAGCATGGTGGGCAGGTGGGCCCAGGCAGCAGATAGACGTAGGGCCAGTGGCTCACCTGTGTAGTGTGGAATGTAGGGCTGTTTCAGGTCCCTGCAGGGAACCCAGGGTGGCTTGGGCCTGCTGAAGTCCTCCGTGAATTTGGGTCTGGACATGGGGGAGAGCACGGAGCAGGGACTCTTGCGTACTTGGGGGTCTGTGAGCAGCTCGGCCGTGGTGCGCCCATAGGTGTTCCCCACCTGGTATCGCAGCTGAGGATAGAAGCCAGCATATCTGCAGAAGGAAGACGAGATAGCTTGTGGGGGTGCGGGGGCACAGATCCAGCCTGTAGCAAGTTAGCAGATGGCAAGGTCGGTAGCACGTGCATTCTACTGGAGCTCCTCACTACCTTTGGGTGTCCATGCTTTCTGTATCCAACTCCTCCAGCCCCTCCTAACCCCTGCCCACTCCTTCCAACAAACAGGGTTAAAGATAGGAGGCAGATACAGGAGCAAAGCCAAGGGAAGGCCTGTAATACATTGGTCCCATCGGGAAGGCCTGGGCTGGGGTAATACATTGGTCCCATCGGGAAGGCCTGGGCTGGGGTTTGGCCTGGACTTTTGCCACCACCCCCAGAAGTCAAGTAGCCAGTAGGAGCTGATGGTGGATCTGAGCCTTGAAACCACATGGGGAAGGTGGGTGGTCTGTGTGATTACTCAAGTACAGGTGGTGGTTTTCTAAGTGCCAAAGTTCCCATAGGCTTGTTGATTTCAAAGGCAAGCAAAGCTGAAATGGCCTCGACCTTCTGCCTCAAGAAATACCCACTGGTGAGAGGTTTGGGGACTGTAAAAGGAGCAGCTACGTGGTCAAGTGTCAGATGGTTCTTGGAACAGTTAAATACAGAGCTACCACATCAGTCCCACTTCTAGGTGATGTTGGTATGAAACTACCAGCTGTTCTGCGGGAGAAAGATGAGGCTTTCTGGTCCCGTGAAGATTTATAGCCTCAGAAACCCTGTACAGGGTCGCTATGAGTCGGAACCAACTCCATGGCACATCACCACCACCACCTCTCAAGAGAAATTGAAAGCAGGGACTCAGATACATGTACGTTGAGGTTCATTGCAACACTTATTTACAAGAATCAAAAAGTGGAATCAACTCAAGAATCTAATAACAGTGGAATGGATAAAATATGGCATACGTATATGATGGAAGGTTACCAGAGCTTTACACAGCACACGTTATAAGATTTTTTTTTGCAAACTGCACAAGCAGCTCTGAGCTTCCTACGCATTCCACACTTACACGTTATATGCACGTGAGCGTTATTTGGGAAAAAATATGGTACTTGGCCACAAAGAGGAATGAGGTTCTGAGAGATGTCACAATGTAGATGGACGTTGAAAACGTTCCAAGTGAAATTAACTGGCCACAAAAGGACACATACTGTCCCACCCCGAGTCGGCTACGGCAGATGGTGGGTTTGAACTGCCAATCTTGAAGTTAGGAGTTCATTGCTTATCCTGCAGCACCATACCAGGACTCAGGGTAAATCAAGAGAGACAGACCCAAGTTTATTCGTGGTGCCTAGGCATGGGAGGAAGGAGGGAATAGGGAGGGGTCTCTCTTAAGGGTGATGGAAAATTCTGGAAACAGATACTGCTGATGGTTGCCTAACCTGAGGAGCACAGTCACTAAACTGCACATGTAAGAATGTTGAAATGGCAGATGTTACGTATGTTTTTACCACAACTGGAAAACGAGGCAACTATTGTATAATCTCGGAGTCCTGGGGTGGCGCTGTGGGTTAATGCACCAGACTGCAAAGCCGTTTGAACTGCAAGGTCGGTGGTTCAAGCTCACCAGCTGCTCCTCGGCAACCCTATGCAGGGTCGCTATGGGTCGGAACCAACTTGACGGCACTTCACAACAACTGTGTGGTCTAACTTTTTATAGAGAGAGCAATGACAGAGGCTGGGGAGTCCGGGGGGGTGCTGTTGCTTGCTGGAGACAGCATTTCTGGTGGGAACTGTGAACTAGTGAGGAGACAGCTGTTTAAACAGAGTAGTACATCTCAGACTTGTATGTACAGGAATTTGAAATAAGTTAGGCCTGACTTCTTCCCACCTTTTTGCTTTTTCACATGTATCTCTGTGTGTGTCTCCATGCACACACTCCTGTTTTCACACTCTGGGAAGAGTCCCAGACAGGCAAACAGTGTCTATACTTCGTCGGACAGCCTTTACCCAGAGTGCTGACCTCATCTTTGAGAAAGCACATCTATTCCAGCAAATGAGTGTCCAGCCTTCATTTAGCCAGCTTCAGCCGGCTGTCTGGCTGCTCATTTCCTGCTCTTTACAAACTTGGTGTCCCTGGTATAACTTGGTGACCGGGTCCAGGGGTGAGGGAGGCCTGGGCCCCTGGAGGCCCCCCACCCTGAGCATGCGCCCACCTTTTCCAGCTCTGGCCCCAGCCTCCCGCTGCCAGGCATGGCCACGCAGGCTCTTACCCAGGGATATAGTGAGGCTCCGGCGTGAAGAGGCTGTGTTTCTGTGTGGCTGTCATTTTGCCTCTACACTGCCCTTTCCAGCTCCAGTCCCCTTCTCCTGGGAGGGCTTCCTGTTGCTGGGCAACCATTGTGAAGAGGTCCTGTATTATTGGGCACCACCCAGTCTGGCCATGTTAACCCTGAGGCAGCACCTCTTTGTACCCGGAGAGCCAGGCAGGGAGAGTCACTGGGCTTGGGACAGGTGGGCCTTGAGGGGGGAACCCCTACTTCACGGAGCTTCAGAGCTATGGTTGTAACACAAGGACGCAGGGAGGGGACAGATGGACTATTGTCACCGCTAGTCAGAAGCCAGCTGAAAAGCTGTACCACCTGCCTCCCCCCGGATTCTTAGGGTCTTCCCTAGTTTCATCGCGACTGCTGGCATGTTTCAAAGCCTTGGCTTCAGGTGTGGGGTTTTGAGCCCGCAAAGTTGCCTTCCACCCTAGAAACATCCTGGCTTTTTGTAGAAACCGTGGAGTTGACTCCAGCGCATGCCACGGTGAGGAAAGCTATTCCACAAGCTGGTCAAAGCCAGGTCCCCCGGGGTTATCTTCTGGGACCCCTCTGGGTGGATTTGGACCTCTGACCTTTTGATTAGTATCCAAGTGCTGAACGATCATGCTACTTGTGGTGTTTGGTATAGGAAGGACTTTCTCAGCAGACTCAGAAGGACCGCGAGAGACTGAGATGAGGCAGCTGAAGTGCATGTGAACTGCCAGTGTGTTAACACAAATCCGAGGGGAAAGTCTGCAGAGAGTGTGACAGGCTCTCAGCCTGGAAAATTCTTACAAGAAAAGCCGTAAGTCCCAACCTTGTTCAACGAAAGGAAGCGGATGAAATGCTGATGTCAGAAGTCTGCGTGTTTGCTCACGCTGGGCACCTGGGGATTTCTGTGCAAGTAACCCGTGCTTTGAGAGACACTTCACAGACCGAGCAATTGGCCCGCCACCCATTCCGGCCGCTCCCGTAACCAGATAGCTAGCTAAAGATAGACATCGGCGCTACACATCTGAGCAGCATTTATTAATGATAGAAACTGAAGTTGTCCACAACAGAGCTGTTTCTAGCCATCAGCACGACATTCTCAAGGTACCCGACACAGGAGGCCGGGAGCAGTCTGTGGACCCCTTGCCCCAGTTAAATTTGTGGATTCTTCAAGTATGGCTGTGTCTGTTTGCCCATCTGGAGAGCCTCCGGGTGAGAGCAGGATTGGGCAGCTGCAGGAGAGGTCAAGGAAACTCTGTAGGTTGAGGCAGTCCCAGGCAGGCCGAGCTCAGGGCTTAGAGCCACATTCACTGTGGTTCCACTCAAGGCTCTGTATGACTTGGCCTGGAGCGCCAACTGTGTCCCCAGGTAGAACATGCCCCCACCTGCCAGTGTCAGCAAGCCCACTTAGACCAACCTGCCCTAAGGCTCCTCCTCCGTGGTGGGGTCTTCCTGGGCCTGCCCCCCAGGACCCCTCAATCCTCCGGCCCTCCCAACTCCTGCCCTTTCCCCACCCTTCGATGGGAGTACAGGTCACCAAGAGGGCAGGCTGGAACAAGGGAGCTGGAGAGAGATGAAGTGGGTGGACCAGGTGCCACCTAGGCAGGCCAGGGGAGCCCACCTGGCAGGTAGGCATGGGCCCAGGTGGGCAGGGCACACTGGCTGACCTCTCTCCCACCTGAGCACCCCGTAACTCCTTCAGGGCTGGACAATGCTTCTTCTGCAGGAAACTTTGACAACTGAGGGGCCCCATGACCCGGACAGTGAGGTCACAGAGCCCTATGGTGACGCCGAGGGACAGGGACCTGAGAGCTAGCCATGAATTTTGACCAGAAGGCCGTGAAATTCCTGGCTAACTTTTACATCAACGGAGGCACACACTGGACTCACGGTCCGCTGGGGCAGAAGGCGCCAGCGCCCCGCCTGTAACTCTCCATGGGGGGCTAGTGGGCTAGGATGGCAGCCTGGGGCGGGGGCAGGGGCGGTGGGCAGGCCTGGCTGGACTGTGGCCGCCCATCTCCCTTACAGGCCCAAGGCTGCTCTGTGGTTGCCAGTTCAGGAGCCTGGGAGGGCCTGGGATGAGGCGAGGCCCCCAGGGGCCCAGGAGCTCCCAGCTGGCCGCAGGGTACGAATGGGTAACCCCCCGGATTTCCAGCCTACCTGCACCCACACTCTGAGGGAGCTGTGTGAGTAAAGGGTCCCAGGGTGATGGGTGAGGGAGGGATCTTCTGGGAGGACCCCAGCCCAGAGCTTTCTTTCTGTGCTCAGTGCTGGACCAACGCCCCCCGATCCTGACCGACCTGGACATCCCGGGTCCCACTAAGTACCTGCTGCCAGATGCATCCATACGAGAGTCCTCCCCTCATCCCCACTACAGCATGGGCCGAAAGCTTCCTGCCCAAGGTCCGTGTCCCCAGGCCCCATCTAGCTCCCTGGGGGGTGGGTCCAGCCCTACACACAGGCTCTGTGCCCCTGTCTACCTTGTCCCACCTTCTCTCCAACCCACCCCCGACCCCCACAGAGGGTGGCAGCTGCAGGGCTCGGCAGACCTGGCTGCGGAGTGAAAGCCCCTTCAACAGAGAGCAAAAGGTGGGTGTGCCAGCCAGGCAAGAGTTCCATGGGGGACAGGCGGGGAGGGGACTTCATAGAGGGTGCCTGGGAGGGGCCACAGCAGCGTCTGATCCTGCAGTGGCCATCGCTTACGGACTACCCGCCTTCCTGCCGGCCCACCTTCAACTTCGGCAGCCACTGTCCAACTTCCAGGACCCCTGAAAGCCACGCTCGTGCACCCAGGGCGGGGGGCCCAAGCGCCTGGGCCCAGGCTCCCCTCCAAGCTTCTCCACACCTCCTGGGCAAAAAGTGGCCCAGCCCCAACACCTATGACATTCTGCCCGGGTATGTCCTGCAGAGCCCGAGGTCACCCGCCTTCTCCATGAGCCGTTCACCTGCCTTTGCCTCTTGGGTCTGCGCCTGTAAGGAGGCCCGGGACCAGGGTTGGGAGGTGGGAGAGCTAAGGACAGGGATGGGGTTCGGCGGGCGGGGCCAGGAACCACAGGTTGGGGCCCTGAGTGGGATGGGCTGGGCATGCGGCAAGGGAGGCTGCAGCCTGCTTCCTGTCTTTACAGCACAGACTCCTGGCCCAGCCGCCTACCATGTGGAGAGCTGCTACAATTCCCGCTTCCCCTCAACGCCCAGAGTGGTCATTCAGGGTGTGCGGAGACCTAAGCGCCATGATACAGGTCCTTTCAGCACACTCTAGAGCTTGGAAGTAGGACTGACCTGCCGTCTCATCTCCTGGAACCCTGGCCTCCCCCTGGGGCTTTCCCAGGACTCCCTCTGAACTCAGAGACCCCCAGTCTGGGCTTGTAACTCTCTGGGCAGCCCAATGCACACTCCTGGTCATCCAGGACCTTTCTGAGGCCATGGGTGAAAGATCTAGCCCAAAGCCCCCACCTAGGCTATACAGAGATGCTGTCAGATTCTCTGGACTCTGTGGTGTGTTACTGCCCATCCGTCCACCTCCCCCCCCCCCATGCATTACCCCATCATCACTGCTGTTGTCCTCCCTCAGCCAGGACTGGCTCGCCCTTCAGCTGTCCCAGGGGGTGGCAGTCAGGGAATGTCCTTGGGAAAGGATAGGAGGTGTGGAAACTCTCATGGACTGTGCAGCACCATCCCCACACTGACAAGCCACCCAGGGACCAGCCAACCCCAGGGCTAGGCTGAGGCAGAGACTGCACTCACTCCCTGACTGCTCCTTTGAGGTGTGTGTGTGTTTGGGGTCAGCCACGCAGCTCCTCTGAGTTAACCCGACTGCCCCAGGACACCTGCTTCCTTGAGAACTCCAGGCCAGCGCCTCAGAAGCCAAGCTGAGGCCAGCAACGAGGGTGGCAGGCGGGAGGAGACACTGGTACGTTGTAAGAGCCTTTGGCTTGGTCCTCCATCTGGTTTCAGCCCTGAGACCACCACCCTGGCCACTCATCTGCAGCTGGTGGCCTTCCTGTGTGCCCCTAGTCTAGCCCTGGTCCTTTCCCACCCACTCTGCTCAGCAGGCGCTCAACCCTACAAAGTGGTATCTGTAATAGCTGCTGGGTGGTGTCTGCCAGGTACCTGGGTCCATCTCTGGGTGTAGAACCAGTTTGCCCAGCACCCCAGGAAGGGCAGCTGGGGGTACAGGGCAGGAGCCTGGGACCCTGATCCAGGAGTGGGACCAGCAGCAAGAATGGAGTCATCTAGCCAGCTGGACTCAGGAAGGATGGCTTCCCAGAGTAGGTGGCCGAAGAATGGGTTTTCAAAGATGAGCAAGAATTTGCCGGGCAGCAGGAAGGAAATTTCTAGCAGAGCAAAGCAGTGAAAAGGAGGAAGGCAGACCTTGCAGGGTTAGTGTGGGGCTGGACCAGTGAGTAGAAGGGCCAGGCCAGTCGGGTGTTTAGAGCAGTCCTGGATGCACGGGCCTCCATGGGGCCAGGAACTGCCTTCCCAGTTGGCAAGGATTTCTCCAGGAGCCCTCCCGCTTAGGTTGGCCAGAGCTGGACTCTGACAGCAAGGCCGAGGGCAGCAGGGCTGGTGGCACCCATCTCCCGGGCTTCTGTTAACAGGGATTGTACACACCCCCACACCTGGGCACCTGCAGGTGAAGGTGGGCATACCCCAGCCAGGGCAGGGCATCGCTTCCTCCACATTAAAGACTACTGTAATATCAGAAGTAGGTCTTTGCACCGTTTACAAAAACAAAATACAGTTGGTGTAAAAAGTCCTTTTTGAGAAACAGCCTTCTGCTCCGCACCCCTACACCAGGGTTGTTGGGGTGGTAGTTTGTCGGTCTCCGCTGGGAGAAGCGGGACGAGGCCACAGGTCACGAGTGCCTCGGGGCGGGGACACCCAGAATTGATAATACCAATCAATAAAGTACAAGAGATGCTGAGCGTGGGAGACAGGTCCTGCAGGGACGTAGGAGCGGGACCTAATAGAGGCATGGAGGCGGGGCCCTGTGGAAACGTGTGGGCGGGACCCTGAGGGGATGTGAGGGCGGGACCCTGAGGGGACGTAGGGGCGGGCTACAAAGGACTTGCAGGCGGGGCCTGAGGGGACGTGAGGGATAGATGCTGTAAGGACGTAAAGGCGAGGCCCCGCAGAGACGTGTGGGCGGGCTCTCAAGGACGGGGCGGGGCCCTGCGGGGTAGTGGGCGGGGCGCTGCGAGTACTTGGGTCGAAACCGGATGGCGTGAGGAGGGGTGGAATGCTGCAGAAACGTGGGGCGGGGTCGCGCCAGCGGGGGCGGGACCGAAGAGGGGTAGGGAAAGGCTAGTGCGGGGCGTGGCCCGACGGAGCCTTAGGGGCGGGACTCATGGAGGGCGGGGTGGGGCCACGCCGATCGGGGCCAGGCGTCATCTTGGCGCCAGTCTCTACGCCGTCGTCACTCTGCGTCGCGCAAGGTCTGGGCGCCGCTCCCAGGAACCTCTGTGCGGCGGCAATCGCGTTTCCTGGGGACCGGCCGGCGAGCGCACCGAGGCTGTGTGGGGCTGCTGTGGGAGGTGGCAGCGAGACCCTTTGCAGAGCCGCGGTGCGACCGGAGCTGGTCGAGCTGGAAGGCACCGGGGAGCGGGGCGCGGGTGCCCTCCGAGGCCCAGGGGAACGGGCGTCTGCGGCGTCCACGGCGGCGCCGGGCGAACGGGCCGGGGATGGGGCGCCAAGCCGGACGGGGGCCGGGCCCTCGGCCATGTTCGCGGGGCTGCAGGACCTGGGCGTGGCCAACGGCGAGGACCTGAAGGAGACTCTGACCAACTGCACGGAGCCGCTCAAGGCCATTGAGCAGTTTCAGGTGGGCGGGTCGGCGAAGGCTGCGGGCGCGGAGTGAAGGCCTGTCGACCGGCGGCTAGCCGAGTCGTTGGGAAATTGATACTGGTCAGTTAGCTGTATCGGGATGTACAGACGCGGCCTGCAGATAGTGTCTCATTGATGGACGCTGGGTGACGTCCACCTGTTGCGGCCAGAGCCCTGAACATGCCTCTTGGGCACTCAGACTTGGCTGCAGCTGAGATGGACCTCGCTTGCCCCTCTTCCCCTTCAGACAGAGAACGGCGTGCTCCTGCCTTCCCTGCAGTCTGCCCTGCCCTTCCTGGACCTGCACGGGACACCCCGATTGGAGTTCCACCAGTCCGTGTTCGACGAGCTTCGGGACAAGCTGCTGGAGAGAGTGTCTGCCATCGCCCTGGAGGGGAAGGCTGAGGAAAGGTGGGTCTCTGCTGTTCATGGGAGGTGACCACAGCAGTTTTTCAGCCTTGGAATGGACACAGCTAAACTTATTGTGCCTTGGCTTCTAAAGGGGCCCTGGTGGCTCAGTGGGTTAGACATGGTTAACTCAAATCCACCAACCCAACCGCTTCTAGGAAGAAAGAGGAGACTGGGCCTGTGAAGAAAGGCTTGGTCTCGGAAACCTGTATGATGTTGCTCTGAGTTGGAATGAACTTGTTGGCCGTGGTTTTTGCTTGATTTCTAGCTTGTAAAGCTAGTCTGGTGTATTCCTTGCCATGTGTCTGGGGTCAGGCAGGCGGCCTCTTGTGTCAGAATCAACCATGCAAGTCGTTTCAGGTACAAGAAACTGGAAGATCTGCTGGAGAAGAGCTTTTCTCTGGTGAAGATGCCATCCCTGCAGCCAGTGGTGATGTGTGTCATGAAACACTTGCCCAAGGTAAATGGGGGTGGACCCATCTCTGCACCTTGTTGGTGCAAATTAAGAGTGTGCACTTGGTCCAGGGGTCAGCTTAGTTCCAGGGAAGTTTGACTAGCTGCCTGCCCCAGGCACGTGTGGAGCCGGCGCAGTCTGTGCTTGCTCCCCTTGTGAGAGGCTTGCTGAGATGCAGCATGGGGTTTGAGTTGAGCTGCAGGACCTCTTTGTAATCAGTGTGGCCACAGCTGCCTCAGAATCCTGGGGAGCACATGTAGTCTGTGGTTTGAAGCCACCCAGCAGCATTGCGGAAGAAAGTCCTGGCCATCTGTTTTCCATAAAGATTACAACCAAGAAAACCATATGGCGTGGTTCTGTTCTGGCACATGTGGGGTCACCACGAGGCGGAGCCTAGCTGACAGCAATGGGTCTGGTTTGGTTTGGCACCTGCCTTGGCCTTGGTACCACCCACGGGACTTCCACAGAGGGGCTTCCTTCCCTGAAGGGAGTGGGGCTGGCAGAGGTTTGTAACTTGTCTGGTGCATAGGTGTGGCTGACAGTGGCCTTTCTGCAGGTTCCTGAGAAGAAGCTGAAGCTGGTGATGGCCGATAAGGAGCTGTACCGAGCCTGTGCCGTTGAAGTGAAGCGGCAGATCTGGCAGGACAACCAGGCGTTGTTTGGGGACGAGGTCTCCCCGCTGCTGAAGCAGTATATACTGGAGAAGGAGGCGGCGCTCTTCAGCACAGAACTGTCCGTTCTGCATAACTTCTTCAGTCCCTCACCCAAGATGAGGCGCCAGGGCCAGGTGAGGCTGGTCGGTGGCCACTGGAGTCTGCACCTTGGAGTCTTTGAAGGTGGACTGTAACTGTGGCTGGAGGCAGGGGTGGACTTTGCCCATTGTCTGTCTTGATGTCTTACTTGTTGTCTCTGGAGTTCACATTGTGGGTGTTTTGCTGTTTGACAATGTAGTCCATGAACAGGGTGAGACAGGGTGGGCCTTAATGAGAAGTGGCAGACCCTCCCTGTAACCCTCTGTGTCTCCGAGTAGTGCGTTAATCAGCCCTGTGGTACTGAGCCACATGTTTCATTTTGTCTCTTCAGAAAATAAATCACCTGGAGGTCCTATCTGTCTTAATAAGGTTGGAATTAACTCTAAATTCCAGTCACTGCACGTTATAGGAGAGGGTTTTAAAAAGTTGATGGAAAATTCCATTATTTTTTCGTTCTATTTTTCCTTGAACTATTTGAAGCCTTTCAATATTGAGGTTTATTTTCATTAGCCAGCGTTTGACCTATTCTGTCCAGTAGGAAGATAAGGGGAATCCCATGAACAGTAAGAAGCTTTCTAGTAGTCAAGTTAAAAGCGACAACAGGGCCACCAGAAAGCCCGCCATCCATGTAGACTTGTTTTGTTTATCTTAGTGTGCCCACTGCCTTGTAACTGAACCTGTTTATGAGATCCTTGGAGATTTTACACCTGGGGTGTCCTTTGCACTCCAGTGGTAGGTGCTGGAGCTGTGTGCGGCTGAACACCCCCCCCCCCCCCCACCCCCCGGGCAGCACATGTTGGAGGAGGACGCCCTCCCCTTCTCAGCGTGTTTGTTGATTGCTGGTTTAGGTCATTGGTAACTGCTGTCTCATCCCATCATCCCTCGCCTGCCACGTCCTCCCTGGGGACTGTCCTTGTGTAAACCTGGGTGTCACAGGCCTCTGTGTGGTGCCAGGTGGTGCAGAAGCTGGCACAGATGGTGGGCAAGAACGTGAAGCTATACGACATGGTGTTGCAGTTCCTACGCACGCTCTTCCTGCGCACGCGCAACGTGCACTACTGCACGCTGCGGGCCGAGCTGCTCATGTCACTACACGACCTGGACGTCAGCGACATCTGCACTGTGGACCCCTGCCACAAGGTAGGCCCCTCCCCACCCCTCCGGGCCTGCACCTGCCTGGAACCCTCGGCTGCTGCTGCTGGCTTCGGCTTCCTGCCCTGCCCCAGTCTGACTCACACCGGGCTCGAGGTCTGGGCCCTGGGGTCTGTGCTGACCGACAGCGCTGCCCCTGCAGTTCACCTGGTGCCTGGACGCCTGCATCCGGGAACGCTTCGTGGACAGCAAGCGGGCGCGGGAGCTGCAAGGCTTTCTAGACGGAGTCAAGAAGGGACAAGAGCAAGTTCTGGGGTGAGAACAAGGCTGGGGGGTCGGAACAAGGGGATGAGCTCGCATGGAGCCCCTGGGAGCTGGCAAGCTGGGCAGTGCCATACCTGGGAGGCACCTGGACCCTGGCGGTGTTGAGGTTGGTGTCTCTGCTTCTGAGGGCAGCTTCCCCCACCCCTCGTCCTCTGCTGCTTGGCTGTCCGGGCCCATGATGCTGGAGTCCAGCCCCGTCTTGGTCTCTGGTCCTCTGTCGTGTTGTCTCTGGTTGTGCTTACTTCTGGATTAGGGGTTTTGGGTCAAATTCTCAAAACCAAAACAGGGCTTTAACATGCTTTTCACTGTTTACGGACATACAAGGTCTTCGTCTTCCCTAAGGATCTTTGACTGAGTTGAGAGAGGGTGTGGGCTGGAGGGAGTCATCTTCTGAGGGACAGCCTGACCTCCCGAGGTCACGTCTGGGCTCTGTCTTCCCAGGGACCTGTCCATGATCTTGTGTGACCCCTTCGCCATCAACACGCTTTCACTGAGCACCATCAGACACCTGCAGGAGCTGGTGGGTCAAGAGACACTGCCCAGGGTGAGTGCAGCCCTCAGACCAGTGCACCGGGTGGGGACTGCTGGTGGGGAGCACGCTGCCCCCAGGGGAGCAGGGCATCTTTCCTCACCTGTGGGAGGTTGTCAGGGCCCAGGGGAGGACACCTCGCTGTGTGGAGCGAGCACCTGGGAGCCTGTAATTCAGGCTGGGAGCTGGGCTGGGTTCTACTAGTGCTGGAGGAGGCATGGAGCTGGGACCCGCGTTGAGCCTACCCCTTCCCCATCACGCAGGACAGCCCTGACCTACTTTTGCTGCTCCGGCTGCTGTCCCTGGGCCAGGGTGCCTGGGACATGATTGACAGCCAGGTCTTCAAGGAGCCCAAGATGGTGAGTGGCCTTGGGCACCAGCTCCTCCCTGGTCCTTACCAGGGCAGGGCCCAGCTGCCGCACTGAACGTCCAGTCTCTAAGCCCCAGCTCTGCTTTTGGAGACAGCATTCCTGGGTGCGCAGGGGGCCTGGCCCTGGAGGACGCTTTCACTCCAGTGGGCTCCTGGGAGTGGGAAGGAGGCCAGCGGCTCACCTTGATGGCCCCTTTCCAGGAAGCGGAACTGGTCACCAGGTTCCTGCCAACACTCATGTCCTTCCTGGTGGATGACTACACCTTCAACGTGGACCAGAAGTTCCCTGCTGAAGAGAAAACCCCAGTCACCTATCCAAGCACACTTCCAGAAAGTTTCACCAAGTACGGGAGCCTGGTGGGCAGTGGGGACGCAGCAGAGGGGCTCCTGCAGTGAGTTCTGAGTCTGTAGGTGGGCTCCCTCGGAGTGCCCGTGCTGACTGCTGCCTGCTGGTACAGGTTTCTGCAGGAGCAGCGCACGGCCTGTGAGGTGGGGCTCTACTACGTGCTGCACTTGGCCAAACAGAGGAACAGGAGTGCGCTTCTGCGTTTGCTGCCTGGCCTGGGTGAGCCCCTCTCTCTGCCCCGCCTGGGGTAGCCTGGGGCCCCCGTCTTGGTCCTTGCTAGTTTGAATGAGGAAGGGGCTTAGCCTCCCTGAGGCCCTGGGCTCACCCATCCCTTCAGCACGTGATGCAGCCCCATGTCCCCCTCCCAGGATTCAAGTGGGGGCAGACTCATGGGTTGTGGGTCCCAGGGCACTGGAAGTTTCTTGGGACCACTGATGTGTTTGGTGATGTTGCGTGTTCTCTGTGTGCGACTAATCTCTGTGAGCAAAGCTACTTACTGATCTGTGAGTAGTAGGTTATACCCAGCCACCGTCTGAGTGAATTCTCTCAGCCTTGCGTCAGTTTCTCATGCAGACAGGGGTCACTTAATTTCCGCCAATTCCAGCTTCAACCACATGTTCATGTTTTACAGTTCTGGACGTGGCGTCTCCAGAACTAACGTCCAGGTGTCTGCAGAGCCGCCTCTTTCTGGGGGCTCCAGGGAGGGTCCCTTTCCTGCCTTGCCCACCTTACCAGAAGCCACCGCATTCCTTGGCTCGTGGCACCTGTGTCTTCAAACATCTTTCATCCTCAGAGCTGCTTCTTTTGATGTCCTACCTCCCTTAAGCTGACCCTGCTGACCACACTGGGCTGCTCTGCTAGTCCAAGGTGCTCTCCTGTCTTGGTCCTTCTCTGATCACACCTGCAGAGTCTCTTTTGCCAGGTCAGGCAGTGCAGGTACGACCCCGGATGAGGACACTAGTGTCTTTGGGCCATTTGTTACCTGCAGACTGCAGGCGGTGGCTTTGGTTGGCTGGTTGGAGTCTTGCGGGGACCCAGTGGTCAATCGCTTTGTCCTGCTTCTGTTTGTCTTGTCCATTTGGTGGTTTCCTTTCTTCCTCGGCCTCACTGCTTTGGCTGGAGACAGGTGGCAGACCGGACATGCTCCTGATGGGTGGTCAGTGCCTCTCACTAGGTACACAGCTGCCTGGAAGAGCCCCAGTTGTGCTGTTGGGGGCACTAGTGAGGACAGTGATGCAGCCACAGTTTCCGTGTGTTCTTGTGTACCTGGTTGTCCTTCGAATGTTCCCTTTGCTTGCTCAGGTTGGTTGGTTGGTTGAATTTACAGGCTTTATTTTTGAGCACAATCTTAGGTCTGTATGAAAACGGAGAGTTCCCACAGGTCCCCTTTCCCCCAGCCCTTGGCTGTTTATTTTTGACTTTTCATCGTGGCCACGGTGAACACTTGGGTCCCTCCTGAGCATTCAGCTCCGGAGATTTGCAAATAGGTGTCCTCGCTATAAGGACGGTGTTAATTTCGGGGGAGTGGCCTCTGCTCTGGAATGCTGACAAAACAGGTGGGCATCAGCTCAGTATCCAGCTGAGGCTCTTGTCCACTCACTGCCTTCGCCTCTCAAACCGAGGGGCCAGGCTGGGTTTTCTGTGTCTGGAGCTCTTGTCCCGTCCAGGAACTGCTGGTGGTGTCCGTCTCATGTCCCTGGTGTCTGGACGTGGTGGTCCAGGGGGAGACTGAGGACGAAGCTCACAGGTGTCTGTCTTCCTCTGCTCTGTGGACCCATGTCCATGCCGTGGCCCAGGGAGCAGGATCCACAGCAGTGTCCATGTGCTGGGGGGAGAGCCCCCTCCAGGCTGGGCTTTGGGAAGTTTCTGCACTTCTACTTAGTGGGCGCTAGGTTTTCTCTTTTTACTGGGGTCAGTTCAGTGGCCCTTGGGACCAGCCCTTGTCCTTAACGTTCTCTTTGTGGGCTCTGTGTCCAGTCCCAGAACCCCCCCCCCTCCCCGGTGGTCCCCTGTCCTAGCCATTCTCTGCCCAGCACTCTGTCCCATTGGAGCCCCACCTCAGGTGCCTGGAGCCTGACCCCACAGTGAGGCTCCCTCCTCGTGAGCTGACATGCCCCTGCCCACAGTGGAGACCTTCGGGGACCTGGCTTTCGGCGACATCTTCCTGCACTTGCTCACTGGGAACTTGGCGCTGCTGGCCGATGAGTTTGCTCTGGAAGACTTCTGTACCAGTCTGTTTGATGGCTTCCTCCTCACGGCCTCGTCCAGGTGCTATGGCCATGCGGCCCTGGACCTTCCCTCACTGCCCATCCTCTCCCACCCAGGCACCTGGGGAGCTGAGGGAGTGGGTTGCGGTGGCTGCTGGGGGGCCTGGGTGGGAGGAACCTGTACCCTAGCCCAGGCTACTACCCCTCCCCCTACCCCCAGGAAGGAGAACGTGCAGCGGCACGTGCTGCGTCTTCTGCTCCACCTGCACCACCGCGTGGCCCCGGCCAGGCTGGAGGCCATGCAGCGGGTCCTGGAACCTGCAGGCCAGGTGGGTGCTCAAGCAGCCCACACAGCACCCCCTGACCTTGGGATGGAGGGTGGGCTGGGGGGATGTGTATTCAGCACGCCTGACCCCCGGGTGTGTGTGTGTGTGTGCACTGTATCCCCGACCCCGGGTGGTGTGGTGTTAGGGCTGTGTGTGTGTGTGTGTGTGTGTGTGTGTGTGTGTGTGTGTGCACTGCATCCCCGGCCCCGGGTGGTGTGATGTCAGGGCTGTGTGTATACATGCGTGGGTATGTGAGCTGTGTGTGTGCAATGCATGCCTGATGCCTGGTGGTGTGGTGTAGGAGTATGTGTGTGTGTGATCTGCGCGCGTGCACTGGTGACCACGTGCTTGCTCGCCCACAGAGTGGGGAGGCCGTCAAGGAGCTGTATGAGCAGCTTGGTCAGAAGCTGGAGCAGCTGGACCACCGGAAGCCCAGCCCGGCTCCAGTGGCCGAGACGCCCGCCCTGGAGCTGCCCCTGCCCCCTGGGCCTGCCCTAGCTGTGCAGTGAGGCGCCAATAATGCACCCCAGTGCTGGGGACGAGCAGTTTAGGCTGTGTCCACAGCCTGCTGTCCAGCAGCCATGCAGGGTCCACCCCTTCTCACTAAGGTGAGGGGTCCACGGGATGGTCCGGTTCTACTCTGGAAGGTGGACCCAACTCCATGCCCACTGCTCAGCCCACCCTGGCATTTGTCACCTCGAGAAGCTGTTTTGGCACCTGCCTTGTCACAGCAAAGCAGACAGGTCTCTGTTGGGTCGGGAACTTCTTTTCCACTTGGGAAGGGCATTAGGGACTTGCTGACCCCGTCAGTGTTTGTGAAAGCTCCCAGGGGGCAGAGTTAATTAGAGAGCAGGCCGGGCTCTGGCTGAGGTTCATGGCCCCGGTGCTCTGTGGACTGCCAGGCGGCTGGAGAGGCTCACCGTGTAAATAAAAGGTGTTTTGTAAAGGTAGTGCTGAGCCGACTTCGTGTTGCGCTTGTTCACCTGGGACTGGAAGTGGACCCCACACACCCATTGTCAGTGTCCGCAGGACCCTCTCTAGGCCTCAAGGTGTCAGGTCTTGCTGGGTGGTCTGCATGGATGAGCCTTAGACTGATGTGGAAACCAAGGCTCCAAGGGCATGGTCAAAGTCCCAAGTGCATTCTGGTCAGGTCTTCTCTCCTAGAACCTTGGTTTGGGGAGCAGGTCCACCTGGTGCTGCTCAGCCAGGTACATAGGACTTAGGGAGCAACCTCCAGGGGTCCATGACTAAGGGAGTCTCTGCACAGCCCGTCCCCCAGACCATTTGGAGACAGTCTGCCCCCCATCACCACACCCTCAAGTGTGGTGGGGATGAGATCACAGGGCTGAGCCTGCACTCTGTCCAAGGGAGGGGGCTGCTGGGAGTTCTAGATGCTTAGTGGGGGGTGGGGGTGGCGGGCAGAGTCCTGGTGTGGCTCTGTGGGATAATGAATGCACTGGACCACAAGGTCGGCAGTTCAAATTCACCAGCCACTTCTCAGAAACCCTATACGGGGATTCTATGAGTTGGAAACCACTCCGTGGCACTTAACAACAGTGGGGGGGTGGGGGGCTGGGGCAGGCCTATCAACATGGAAGCTCTAAGAGGCGGGGAGAGGGGTAGGAGTGGAGTAATGTAGGGTTCTAGCCTCCTTTACCTCTGTCAGGTAGACCAGCTGGAGGGGGCTGGACACACAGGAATTCCCAGGGGCCTGGGATTAGTCTGCAGCACTCAGGGTGTTCCCCCCACAACACACACACACTCCTTCAGTCTGACCCTTCCAGTCCAAGGTTGGTATCTGTACCTTTGTGGGGGAAGGTTTACAGGTGGAGGAAGAGCCCAAACGAGAAAGAGAAAGAGTGAGCAAAAACCACCCACCCACCCCCTGCAACTGGGCAGGGAGGGTCCGGACCTGCGGTGGGGTTACCAGAGCCCTGGGGCAGCTAGGTCTAGCCAGGTGGCCGGAGAGCAGGGACCATGAGCTTCCGCTAAAATTCTAAGGAGGTGGGGGCTTCACAGTGAGCAGGGGTGCTGGGAATGGGGTTATCAGTCCAAGTGGGGCACGGAGGGCCCCAAAACCCCTGGTCCCAAATTCTAAATTGGCTCCCCATGTCAAACAGGGAGCCTGCTACACGTGACCCTTTCCCAGGGTAAAGAAGGTCCTGGGGTGGGGGTCTTCAGGTGAGAGCGGCCGCAGGGGGGTGGGGCGCCGACGGCCTCCCCTCCCCCCTTGTTTACAGCCCTCTGGGGGAGGGGACCTTAGGTGAAGGTGTTCCCGCAGAGGTGTGGATGCAGGAAGGACAGACAGACTGGGTGGGCGAGGGCACAGAAGGGGCAAGGTATGTGCTCGCGGGCCTGCACCTGTCAGGGTGCTGGTTGATCTCAAGTGCAGGGTCAGCGAGGTGACCGGCCAGGCCGCCCCCCTCCGCATTCGTCTTTTCTAAGTCCCGCCCGTCGCACCCCTGACTCACTTCCTTTGCAATAGAAGCGGAAACTTTCCAGAGCTTCTTCCGTGGCTCGGACACTCTCCGGGGACCCACAGGTGTCGCTGCCCTCCAGGCCCCTGTCCCGCCAGTCCCTTGTCCCAAGGAGGCTGGCATTTCCGCTGGCGAGTGGTAGACCCAGCGTCCGGAGCCTGACACAGCAGCAGGTATGGGGGTGTTGGGAGCTACCCGTTCAGTCCTGCCCCCCCCCCCCCCCCCCCCGCGGCAGGCCTCTTCGCCGGCCTACTAGGCAGACTTCGACACAGGCCGCTGTCGGCGGGTCCCTGGTTCTACCCACCTCCCCTTCTTCCCCTCTCTGTCCATCCTCTGTGCCCCACTCCCACCCGCGGCAGCCCAGCCGGGGAGCCCTAGGCCGGCTGATGGGAGGCCCCAGTTTGGGGGCTTGGGCGGATTGGACTGAGCCTGCGGCAGAGCTGGGGCCTCGTCTCAAAAGTCGAAGTTCCGGCCAGACCTCCCCGCAAGTGTTCTTGAATGGGGAGGGGCAGTCCTGGACTCGTGTGGGTGCTTGGGCCTCTGCGGGCGGGGGCGTGTCCGGGCGTGACCTTTCAAATCCCCAATCGGCGCCAGGTCGGACCCCAACTCCTCCAGGAAGCCGGAGAGGCGGCCGATAAACTGTGGCCGCCCCCTATCCCCTTCAGCCACTTCCTCTTAGCAACCACAGCCGGTGTTTACCGGAGGCCCAGGAATTTGCATGCGGCCCCGCGGGGAAGCCGCTTCCTGGTCTGCGGGCGAGGCCGGACCCGGGGCCTTGGGGGGTAAAGGCCACTCGGAGGGCTGGTCCCAGTGGGCTCTCGGCCCCGCGGAGGGAGTCTGGAACCCTTTCTCAGATACCCTTTGCAGGGACAGCGACCTGCATGCCGAGCGACACCCCCGAGCCATGGACCGCGGCCCGGAGCCCGCAGCCCTCCCGCGCCACGGGCCCATGCGTGATCGCGCCCGTGCGCGCAGTGCTCCGCCTGCGCCGCCGCGTGTGTCTCCTGCGCAAGCGCCGCCTGCTGCTGCCCAGCGCAGGTTCCACCAGCGCGGGTCTGGAAGCGGAAACTGGCGCACCGCTCGCGGGAACCGACCAACCACGCTTCTTTACCTTCGACGACTCCACGGATAACGTCGCGAAGGCACCCCGCAAAAGGCGGCGGCGCAGTCGCATGGTGTTGTACCCTGAAAGTTCGCGCAAGTATCTGCCGCGCACCGAGCGCCGGAGCCGCGCGCAGAACTGCCTGCTGCTGCTCGTGGCGATCGTGGGCTTCCAGGTGCTCAACGCAATCGAGAATCTGGATGACAACGCGCTCCGCTACGACCTCGACGGCCTGGAGAAAGCACTGCAGCGTGCTGTGTTTGGGCAGCCGGCCGCCGTGGAGCGCATTGTGGCGCTGCTCCGGGATTACCTGGCCACGCACGTGCACAGCCGCCCACTGCTCCTGGCGTTGCACGGACCCAGCGGCGTGGGCAAGAGCCACGTGGGCCGTCTGTTGGCACGGCACTTCCGCGCCGTGATGGACGACAGCGGTCTGGTGCTACAGTACCATGCGCGCCACCACTGCCCCAAGTCGCGAGATGCGCAGGCCTGTCGCGAGGAGCTGGCACAGCGTGTGGCCGACATGGTGGCACGGGCCGAGGCCGAGGAGAAGACGCCACTCCTGGTGTTGGATGAGGTGGAGGTCATGCCGCCTGAGCTGCTGGATGAGGTGCACAGCTTCCTGCAGCCGCAACGCTCACATCAGTTCCACAGCGCCATCTACGTGCTCCTCAGCAATGCGGGCGGTGGTGAGATCACGCGCTTCGTACTGCAGAACGCCTCCCGGGTGCTGCCCCGACGCCCGGACGCGGGCCACGGGGCCCGGGCAGAGGAGGAGCTGCGTGGCAGCCTGCGGGCGCTCCTGGCTAGAGAGCACCCGCTGTGGAAGATCGCGACCATCGTTCCCTTCCTGCTGCTGGACAAGTGGGATGTGGTCAAGTGCTTCAGGGAAGAGATGGCTGGGGAGGGGTTTTTTCCTGAGCAGGCCCGCGCCGAGCGCCTAGCAGCTCAGCTCAACTACTACCGCGTGTCTGGTCGCGAGTATGCCATTACCGGCTGCAAACAGGTGGTGGCCAAAGTGAATCTCTTGTAGCTTCGGTGCAGCTGGACATGTGAAACCTAAGGGGGCTAACCGCAGGACATTTGGGAGACCACCCCAGACCACAGATGCCTCTAATAAAACTGTTCATGCACCCTTGAACTGAGGAGACTTGTGGGGTGGTGACCCAAGGGACCCTAGTGTGAGCATCCTTAGCTTACTGCCTATTGGGTACTGGCATGTCCCAGGACCATCTGGTGAATTCTTAAACTACCCAGAAAGTAGGCAGTCTGTCCCTTCACTTGGAAGATGACCTCACAGGGGTGAGTAGTATCCCATCACTTAGTTGGTCCCCTACAGAACCGGGATTGGAACCCAGCTCTGTCGGGTACTTGTGGCCACTACCTTACACACATTACACACACACACCACACCGACCTACTGGGGGGCAGGGCAAGGACCTAGCTCCGGGATAGTTTGGATTTCTTGAAGACCTGTCAAAGGCAGCTGGAGTGCTCTGACCAGCTCTGACCACAGTCAGGTGGATCATGGTCACAGGTGGGCTCGAGTCCAGAGCCTTGGCTATTTTAGCCCAGCCCAGTCCTGAACCAGGAGAGGCTGACTGGCCGAGCCCTAGCCAGAGTTCCAACCAGGGCTGGGGAAGGACACCCACCTCTTTAAGTTCTAAACAATCAGGGTCCTCTCCCCACAGAGCCCAGAGACTGCAATGGAACTGTCCCCTCAGTGCACGCCCCCTTCCCTAGCCCTCCTCAGTCACCTCCTCTCGCATTTCCAGGGCGGAAGCTGGCAGTGCCTGGCTCTCTGGGGAGGGGAGGGGCCGGCCTTGTGCCCGAAGAGGCAGGAGCAACTCTCCATGTAGAGTCAGACCCCAGGGCACCAGAGAGCGTTTTCTGCATGGATGGGTGTATGTCTCCGGCGGTTTTCGCCCATGAACGACCCTTTTGTGCCCCAAATCCTGCCCTCCCCTTTGTCGATTCACTAAGAATGCTGCTCCCCTAACCTCTCCGCGGCTCCGTGCATGCGCTCCACCGCTGGGACGCCTCCCGACTTCCCCCGCAGACCACGAAGTTCCTCGCGCCCACCCACACTTCGGAGGTACGTGTTGGAGGCGCACTTGGCGTGGAGGATTCCAGAGGACCCAGGTCTGCGCAGCCTCCACCTCCCGCAGCCCCTCTAGTCCGCTTCGTGGCCTCTGAGGGCAACCGGAGCTGGACGCGCTACGGATCCCGGAAGCCCTGGACCCACTCCCAAGACTGGAGGGCCAGTCCCTCGACAGGGCGGCGGAGGCCGTGGTCTGGCAGTGCACAAAAGATAGCAATAACAATGACAAAACCCAAAAAGGGAAGGAATGAGAGAGGGTGGGATCACATGAGGGGGAGAAAGAGTTCTAACGGTAGAGGTCAGCAGTGGTGGAGGGGACAAGGCAGGCAGAAGGTGCCCCTCGTGGGCATGAGCTCGTTTTTACATGGCCAGAGGCTGTGCACGTGCCCACCCACCTATATCTAAAGACACGGGATCCCCAGAGCAGTGTCTCCAGAGGCACCCCTTCCCCTCCAAGCTCCTGGACCGTTGGTGTGGACTGCGACCCCATTTCTGACCTTGTGTTTGTCCATGGACCTGGTTAAGGTATAAAAGCATTCGTGGTCAGGTGTCTGGAGGGAATCTTTCACCTGGCGAACCCAGTGCACAAAGCGTGGGCTCAGGACAGAATGGGATGTGGGGGTCATGCCCTGCAGGGACAGGTAGAGACCCCAGGCATAGTGGGGGTGAGGACTGGACCTTGAAAGCATCAGTATTCCCCCACCTCCAAGGGAAATTGAAGCTAGAAAAGTAAGTCTGGGAACCAAAGCTCTAAATATACTGGACATCCCAATGGTGGGCCCCCATGCTTCAAGGTGTGTGTGTGAGACCCAGAGAGATGTCTGTGAGTAGATGTGCTTACCAGTCCATGTGTGGGTATACCGGAGGAAGACCCATCTAGGGTTATTCCCACCCCCACCTTGAGATGGCCCACAGAGCAGCCCTCTTGGGTGTCACTTGCCCAGCCAAACATGGTCTTCACTGGCCCACTCAGCCAACAAATGCCCACTAAGCTTCTGTTGTGTGCCCTCCAATTGATTTCGACTCACCGTGACCCCAGTGACCAGACTAGATCTGCCCCGTAGGATTTTCCAAAACGGCTGCCGTCTGTATAGAAGCAGATCTCCAGGTCTTTCTCCCTCTGAACCTGCTCCTCTCCTCACCAAAAGCCCAAGCCTGTGAGGAGGAGCTCATGCTGTTGTTATACAACCGGATTTCTAAACGAGTTCCACTGGTCCCACCATCTCTTAATTGCTGCAGATTTGCAAGCCTTTATAATATATATCTTGCTGAATTCTACCTTTGTCTTCACTATCATTGGAACTTTTTTCTTAGAATCTGATTTTGTCAAATTCTTTGAAAAGGTTGTTAGGATTTGACTGGAATTGTGTTGACTGCAGACTAATGTGGAGACTGCTGATTCCTAACCATTGTTGTTATTAGTACCATTGGGTCAGTTCCTGCTGAGAGTGACCCTGTGTAGGGTTTCTGAGGAGCGGCTGGTGGGTTTGAACTGTTGAGCTTTCAGTTTGAATCAACCTTGAGGTCCAGCTTATCCTATAGCGCCACACCGGGACTCTATCTTTATACTGTGGTGATGGTGATGGTGGTGGTGGTTATGTGCCGTGGAGTCGGTTCTGACCCATAGCGACCCTGTACAGGGTTTCCGAGGCTGTAAATCTTTACAGGAGCAGAAAGCCTCATCTTTCTCCCGTGGAACAGCTGGTAGTTTCGAATTTAGCAGCTAGTCATTTATTAAAGCCTTTTAAAAAATGTTTTTCAATAAAGTAATTTGCTGCAGGTAGGCCTTGTTCATTTTTGTTAGATTTATCCCTAAAGCCATGTTATTTTTTGTTGGCATTGTGGAGGATGACTTTTGTCAAATAAAGCACACATGGAAAAAAGCGTATAAAATAAAAATGTATGTTCAAAGTTTTATCAAAGAGCTCACTTAACATCTAAGTCAAGCAATTGAATATTGCTGGTGTTCTAGAAACCCTGACGTCGGCTAATCATTGGCTTCTCCTCAGTCCCTTAGGCAATTACTGCCCTTCTGTCACGGTTGCCAGGGACTCGATTCTTCAGACCTTTACCACTCAATTCTAAACCCTAAGGAAACCTAGTAGATAAAACAGTTGGCTGCTAACTGAAAGATCAAACGCATCAGCTCCTCTGAGGAAGAAAGACGAGGTTATCTGCTCCCATAAAGATTTACAACCTCCCGAAGCCTAGACAGCAGTTCTGCTCTGTCCTGTGAGGCAGAATTGACTGGATGCCAGTGGATTGGTTTTGGCCTTGTCAACCCTAAACATTCTGGTGTTGTGTCGGGGTTTTTTCAGCCTTCTTATTAGTTAATTTTTAAAATAGCTTTATTTATGTAAGAAATAATTTGTACCACAAAATGTAATCATTTTAAGTGAGCGATTTCATGATTTTCAGTAAATTGACAGTTATGCAGGCATCCCCACTAAGCAGGTTTAGAGCATTCTCATCACCCCAGAAAAGATCCACCATGCTCTGAAAACTTCAGCTTGCTTGTTTCCATCCTGCCACAGACAACCAGCGGGGTTTTGAGCTTCATCTGCGCTGTAAGGATCCAGCTGCTGAATAGTTTGTTCATTCACTTGTTCATGACCATTTGTGTTGTTTTCACTGTGGGGCTAGTATGAGTATTGGTGCTGGGAACATTTGCCAACAAAATTCTTAGTGTGGACATATGTTTTCATTTCTCTTGAATAAACACTGAGGAGTGGAATTGCTGGGCCATATGACCAAACTCTGTTTAACTTCTTACAAAATTGCCAAACTGTTTTCTAAAGTGACTGCCCCAATTGGCATGCCCCCCAGCAAAGGACAGCAGTTCTCGCTTCCCCACAACCTCACCCACTCTTGTCCCCGACACTCTTTTATAGTCTCTTCTGTTTGTTATCCCTTTGTCATCTAACTTATAATAGGTAACTTCTTTACAGGATTGTTGTAAAGTGCCACTGAGTCGGTTCTGACCCATAGAGACCCTGAATACAGTTTCTGAGGAGTGGCTGGTGAGTTTGAACCGCCGACCTTGTGGTCCAGTGCTTGAACCCGCAGCACCAGGAGATCCAAGGAGAAGAATGAAATGAGCCCTCTTGGGGGAAGGGTTAACCTGTTTTCAACTCACATCCTAGGGGGTGTGTTTTAGTTGCGGCTTTGATTTGCATTTCCTCAATGACTAATTACACTGAACATTCTGTTCATGTGCTTGCTAGCTATTTGTATATGTTTTTTTGGTTAAATATCTACTCAAATGTTTTACTCATTTTCTTAATTGGGTTGTTTGCTTCTTACCTAGCTGTAGAAGCTCTTTGTATAATCGGAACACAAGTCTTTTATTAGATACATGATTTGCAACTATTTTGCAAAAATGTTGTATAAGGGACTCTTTATCCAAGGCCATAAAGATTTTCTCATCCGTTTTGTTTAAATAGGTTTTACAGCTTTCTTGTTAGTCCTGCGCTGCCTTCACAGTTGTGGCTGTATTTAAGCCAAGGTGTGGATCCATCTCGCTGGGGAGGAGGGCCAGGGGGCGGGCAGCTTTCTCATTTGCGCTGACCCTCTACTTTACCAAGCATGATGTCCTTCTCCAGGGACTGGTCCCTGCGGATGGCATGTCCACCGTATGTGACGTGAAGTCTCCCCATCCTCACTTCTAATGACCCTTCTGACTGTACTTCTTCCAAGACAGATTTGTTTCTTATTCTAACAGTCCATAGTATATTCAGTGTTCTTTGCCAACACCATAATATAGTAAAATAAAACATAGATATGAAAAATCTAAATATCCATGAAAAACTCATAAAAGCGAAAAGTCTATTTATATATACCTTCCAAATCCACCTGCCATCATTTCAGAATGATTTACAGCATTTCCAAGACAGTAAACCTTTACAGAAGCGGTCAGCCTCATCTTTCTCCCA